TATGTGGCTTCCTTTTCCCACTCTGAGCCCAGTGGATGGAGTCAAGGAGAGGATGACTTTTTCCTTCAAAGGGGGAAGATGGAGTCACAGGGGTTGAGTATTCACTATACACATTTAAAGTGTGTTTTCCCCTCAAAGGATTCTGGGAACTCAGTTACCTATTGTCAAACTTAAAAAAACACCAATACCCAGAATTCTCTGCAGGATAAAATGTGCTTTAAAAGTATGTGTACACCGTTGGGTTCCTTGTGTAACCATTGTGTGCTAAACTTTATCCACAGCCATCTGATCTGAATTCAATATTGCTCAGGCCTCACTTAAACTTTTTCCGGGTCTGTCCTAACCCTCCTTTTAAGATTCCCTTTATATTCCTTTGTATGCCAACAACAAAAGGAATAAGTGTTGGAGCGGAGAAAAGGCAGTTGGGGGAGGGGTTACCTCCATTATCCTTTCTATGGGGATGGATAATTTGTCAGTGGTAGTAGATGCTTTGCATGCAGAAAGTCCCAGGTTCACTCCATATGTGTTTTTTTTAAAGGATCAGGTAGGTGTTGTGAAAACATTCTGCCACAGTACCTGCAAACCTACTGTTAGATCTAAGACCAGTGTAAAGGTAAAGGGACCCCTGACCATTAGGTCCAGTAGCGGACAACTCTGGGGTTGGGGCGCTCATCTCGCTTTATTGGCTGAAGGAGCCGGCATACAGCTTCCGCGTCATGTGGCCAGCATGACTAAGCCGCTTCTGGCGAACCAGAGCAGCGCACGCAAACGCCGTTTACCTTCCCGCCGAAGCGGTACCTATTTATCCACTTGCACTTTGTGCTTTCAAACTGCTAGGTTGGCAGGAGCTGGGACCAAGCAACAGGAGCTCACCCCGTCGTGGGAATTCGAACCACCGACCTTCTGATCGGCAAGCCCTAGGCTCTGTGGTTTAACCCACAGCGCCACCCGCGTCCCAATATCATTGTGTACATGTAACTAGACCTTAAGGCTGGAACAAATATTTATCTCTGCGGTGGAACAGAAGTAGTTTCCTTTTTAGTATTACAGTGGCATTGTTTCAGTTTTCTTCAGAATCAAAACAAATTGGTAGGGCATTGAGTAGCAGTGGTGACAAGACAGTTACCATTGCTACTCCCCCCCCACATTTAATCCAGCAAGTTTTGTGGCTCTAACTCCCTTTTTCATGTTTTTATGTCATTTGTTTTGTGCTGTTGTGATAGGAATTTTATGGTCTTAGATATATGGTAATGTTCATAACCGCACATACATAGATCAGCACAGGAAGGCCAACCTGGAACCATTTTGATTCCTAAACTAACCAATTGTTTTCTCTGCAAGGTCAAAATGGAAAAAGCCTCCCCACTGTCTTTTCCTTCACAAATCCTGTCTTAAGGGTATGTCTGTTTGAATAAGGGTGTGAGCCTTATCATTACAAAAGACTGGCCAGGCTCCTCAGGAAATCCAATCAAGTAACCTGCTAGACAAGAGATAAACAACAACAGGAGAAAAACAATATTAAAATTTCTGTGATGTAGGTTGGATGTATCTGAGGGGTGGTCTTAGGTTACACCCCTTCTGTGATGTATGTAGATGTTTCTGGGGGTGGTCTTGATCTACAGGATGGGAATTTCAACAGTCTTTATAAGGCCTTGCATGCCATTTTTGTGGGTCCTCCTCCTTTCCTGCGAGTGAGGGGAGCACCCTGTTGCAACAGATCAATCAAGATCAAGCTTACCAGCTGCTTTGCTTCTCAATATTCTCTGGTTGGCCTCTGTTATTTTCTCCTACCAGTAGGGAACCTATGTAAGGACTCTTGGATACCCCATAAGGGAAAAGGGCATATTTTTGTTTACAACACTGTATTGTAACCCCCCCTCCGAAATCTGATATGGTAAAAGGTAGTACAAAAATGTTGTAAATAAAGGGCTGCATTAATGTCCAGGTGTCTTGCTACTTCCATACTAAGTAAACTAACTTTTACAACAGTTCCAGCACTGCTCCTGTTGTAGGTGTATGCATGGACATAGCCAGGATTTTTGTTAGGTGCCGGGCAGGCCTTTTGTTTTTTTGGAGGGAAGAACCTGTTTGCTATGTATTTTTATTAAATTTTATTGATGGGGGGGGCAGCTGCCCCACTCTGCCTATGCCCCTGGGTGTATGTATTTTATATGCTATCAACATTCAACTACCGAACACAGGTTGAGGAACATTTTTCATCCTGAGGGCCTTATTCCCTTTGGGGCAATCTTCCAGGAGCCACATGTCAGTGATGGACAGGGCTAGAGGCAAAACTGGGCAAAGCAACAAATGTAAATTTTACCTTTGTAAAGGAGGCTAGTTTCTGCACAGTCTCACCCTTCTCCATCCTGGCAAGCAAGTGGCAATATTCGAGTTACCCCTGCTTCATACCACCCCAGATCTTGGAGGCCTTGCCACTGGCCATGCAGAAAGTTAAGAGGAGCTACCTAAGTGAGCACATCCTGGCAAGGCCAGCATGGGAAGAAACCACATGGTTCCTTTTACTCACATTAAGGCGTGACATTATTACCATATTTCAATGGCTCATTTATGAATCAGATTTGAGTCTTACAAGTCATTTTCTGTCTCCCTGTGTTGGGCATTACAACTCACTCAAGAAAAAGGTTCTGGAATACATACGCTGGAGTATACAGAACAAACCAAAAACTGCTTTAAAAATTCTTTATTTTCATAAAATGCATACGTAATCAGCAAATGTTCCTATAAATTAAGCTTAGCAAGTACAGGGCAACACTGTAGCAAACAATCCTGCTATAACAGGAATAATAATTAATCTGCAATTTTAGTGAGTGGCTTTCAAGGAAACACACATTTTCACTTTATTGTATGTAACAAAACAAAGCAATGCAAAGTGCTGTTTTGGGTGTGTGCAACACTTACAAATGACTCAACAGTAGTTGTTCTTTAGTATTATATTGCCAGCATCCTACATTTAGGTGGCACAAGAGCTTGTTTCACTTGATTTTTTTCAAGTTTTCTTGTTTCTCAAGTTTATTTATTACTTACATTTATAAACTACTCACCATCCTGTAAGATGATCCCAGGGCAGATGATGCACAATAACACAATAAATTTAAATGTAATTAAAATGGCACTAAACCCATAAAAACAGTCCAGTAGCATCATGAAAAAAGCTGTACCCACTCAATGACTTCCTAATGCCTCTGTGAAGAGATATGTTCTAAAATCTATCAACGGTGGTGGGTCTGCGTTCTCACCCGAGGGAGGGGGGGAAGAGTTCCACACACACAGCAGCCCCCAAAGGCGGCCTTATCTTGCATCACCACATAGCAAAGCCACACTATTTCCCCTTCTTTCCTTCCTTGATTTGTCAAGTTCCATAACAGTAGTGCAGAAATACTTTGGGAGTCACAGAAGTAAAAGACACCATTGTGGATAAAGCAACTGCTGCTTTGTTCTGCTTTTTTTTGCCAGGTAAGGCTAGCAGGACTAGTTAAGAAGAAAAATTTACTGATGCAAAAATGAACCAAGGGTGTAGAGTAACCAATGATGTGGGAGAGGAAAAGGCCTCTTACCTTTGGTGTGCCAGTTGACTTCTAAGTGGCTACAGCATGGTTCAATGTGGGTAAGTCACCTTCTGAACTTCCACTGAAACCACTGTCTTCTAGACAGTGTGAAGTAGAGAATTGCGTATTGGACTGAACCAGGGTTTCAACCCCTCTTCAGTTGCAAAGGTCATTGGAGGGCCTCAGGCCAATCACACACAGAGTTTAATCTTTTGCACAGGGTGGTTCTGAAGATAAATGGAATAATCCCTGTACTCCTCAGAGGAACAGGGGATACAAAGGTGAAGCACGCATGCATATAGTGTCAAGGTAAAGGGTCCAGCTTAGTTCCTTAAGCATTTAATGAGCAAAACAATTCTTATTAGAATCCAGTTCCTATTAGAATATAGACTTTCCCCATGGCTTACATTTAAGATACTTTAGATATCTTAATTCTGCCACTGACTGGGAACATCAGGAGAATGTGTGAATGCATGCATTGCAGAAAATATTCACATATGAATATTTTGCTAAGCATTTCCTGGTTTTAAATTTTAGCCAGCATCTAGGAGCAGTATTTCTTCTTCTTCCTGGGACTAGAGAAGAATCGCACGACAAACGCAACAAACAGTACTGGAAAATGTCATATTAGTGAATTCACAGTATTTGACAGCCTCTCAGAGTATACTGAAGTATTAGAATAAAGGATAAATAATAGAGTAAGAGGGAGAAAAGAGAACTGCACCAATAAGCTGGAATATCCTTCTGGAGATACATACAATTTCCTGAGATTACACTTTATTGTGTCCAATATAATGCAATAGAAGAAACATTACAATGGACATAGTAAGGAGTAAATTAATTGAGATTTTACTTTGCTGTTAGTTAAAAGTAGGCTAGCAAGTCATTCCCAGTTTAGTCGAGTGTATTCAATTCAGAGAGAAAATGTAAAGTGGATCAATAAAAACTGGGAAAAACAAGAAGTCAATACTTGTGCAAAGAAGCATCACTGGGCTTTAGGGCAGATTTAAGTGCACAGATACAATGCAAATACTCAGTTGAGTATGGGAACTGCCTATACTGAGGAACGCCATGTGAACTATGTAGTGATGTAAATTTCTGCCTAGGACTTGCGCTGTGATAGCTCTTTCCCACATGCAAGCCATCACCTGATGCCGTGATCCTGGACAGACATATATGCATGTATATAAACTCCTTCAGCCAACTCCCCAGCCTCCAAAATTCAGCAATCTGGAAGCAACAGGTTTCTGGAAAAAATGACGAGTTTATTTCATTATGTTCAAATGACAAACTACATTTTAATATTACATTCCCAAGCCTCAGGCTCAAATGGCTATGAGAACATCAGAAGCTTTTGCTGTTGTTTTCGATTAACTGCAATTTATTGTTCAGGAGTGCCTTACCTTGTATACTCCTCCCTGGTCACTTCAATCCTGGGGATAGCTCAATTGGTAGAGCACGAGACTCTTAATTTCAGGGTTGTGGGTTCGTGCCCCATCTTGGGCAAAAGACTCCTGCATTGCAGGGGTTGGACTTGATGCCCCTCGTGGTCTCTTCCAACTCTACAATTCTATGAGAGACACTCTTAGTAGTGCCATGTGATTCCAAGGTTCATCTTATGTTCGTTTAAGTGTGGTAGCACATGGAATTAGAAATGTCCTTCCAATGAACATTAGGAAGGCACCTAAAGTATTGACATTTAGATGCCTGCTTAAAACTCACCAGTTCATCCGGTCTTTCTCTGAAATCTAGTTACGTTGGTGTATTAATTTGACCTACTGATTTGTGATGAATCTTTGTTTTATGGATGTGATATTATTGTTCGCCACCCATGTATTTTTCTTGGTGATACAGAAAATGCTAAACAAACAAACAAATGAATGTTTCGTTCAAACCTGAAACTGTGGTTAATTTTAAGCGTGGTTTACGGAAACAAGCCCAGTTCATGAGCCATGGCTTGAAGTTCGCTTGTTTCCTTAAACCATAACCAGTTTATTTGGGTTCAGACAGAAAGCTAAACTGCAGTTTGTATGTTTTCAATTCTCTTTTTATCTATCACAACAGTGCTGAAGGATTATTTTGCTGATGAATCCAAAGCTTGTTTAATTAACACTAAATTATGGTATCTGAATGAGGCCATTAGTTCTCACATTATGCTTCTTAAAGGAATTTAGAGGATAATTTCTGTTATCCTAAACATGTATGTATGAGGTACACGGACTATGGCACATGTATAGGCTTTGTGTATGCCATGATTTCACAGGAATGCAGTTAGGAGCAGAATGTGGTGGTGGATACAGAATCTGGTTGAGTGTCTCAGGTTATTTTTCAAAAAAGCAAATCTCTGGTTTTCTGGATGAAATCCCAAAAGCCAGAGGCTAAATAAGATTTTCAGAGGTTGTCGTTGAGCTCAAAATTTCTCATCCTCTTCATGGACTGGTAAAAAAAGCAATATTATGCATAAGACGCCATCGTCATAATTATTTCTGTCTTTATTCATCAGCTTATCCCACAAAGGGTTTATGTACAATATAAAGAAGTAATTTTTTTTAATTACACACAATACTCTTCAGTACAGACTACACACAACCCTGGGTAACTGAGAGTTACTTTGCTAGAACTGCTCTACTGTGTCTCCTGTTCAACTTATATTTCTTTTGCTGTAGAAACTGATTTTAAGTTAATGTTAAACTTCAACTCGGAAAAGGATGTCATGGAAAAGTATGTTTACATCTCCATCATGTTCTGTACACCATGTTCTGTACACCATCCTTCTGCTTCATAACTACACCTATGTACTTACCTTATTTGCATATGATCCCCACTGTCAGAACAGCATGCTGCCAGTCATGATGCAGGTCAAGAAACAGACAAAATGGGGTTTTCCCATTAAACAATATAAAGTATTTATTTTGTAGCTCCATTCATAACACAGCAGTAGGATTTATCTGCACTATTAAATATTTTATTTTAATTGAAATTAATATATCTCCTATGCTATATAACAGGTGTAACCATCCTGCCAATTAAACCTAATGAAGAACCATTCTACTATAGTGGAGCACTTGTTTATTGAAAGAATCAAAACACAACTTGGGACGACATCAGCAGAGTTCACTACTGCAGCTATCAAATGTCACAATTCAGCCTAAGGCAATCCTAACGACCGCTCATTCCATTATATGTGATTTGTAAACATACTAGTGTCTATTTTTGAAAGAGCAGTTCCCAAAGAATGCAAGCTGCCATGGTTATTATAGATGCATTTGATCATGGACTCCCATGGTTAGTATCAATATGCATCAAAGTATCATACACAGTGAAGTCAATGTATGGCGAAATCATCCTCATCCTCAGCATGAGGATCATCCTTGTCTTCTCCTGCTTTTGGTCACAGAGTCTGGAAATAAGTGATACAGCGTTGTATTCAACAGAGAACTAAGGTGAACATCCCATCAGTTAAAGGATTCCTCCTTGCATAATGGGAGTTCCTCCTGTCCCTCTGTGCACCTCCTAAATCTGTTCTGGAGGTTCCCCAAACACTTTGGAGATTTGTGGACAGGGCAAGCAGGGCAAGGCATGCACAGAGGGAGGGAGGGAGGGAAAGAAATCCCATTGTGCTAGCACAAGAATTTGAGTACTGCCCACACCGTCCCTATGGAGGTACCATTTGTGTAGCTGGATGATGGTCACACCCAATTTTGGAATAAGGCCCTATGCTGCAGGAGGCAGCACAATCAAGAGTGGAGCAAACTGTAACCGAATATAGAATATACACACTTAAAAGTAGTTGGGAAGAAGGTGAAGGGTGGAACCAGAATGACAAGTGAGAAAATGTAAGGGGAAGAAGTTGCAGTGTGCCTCCTCCAGCCCCAGGTAAGTAACTGTAAAACCTTTAGAAAGATTTGTAAATGTACACAGCAGTCAATGTATATTACCCTATCACATACACTCTGGCGGCTCACAACTCCCGCAATTATAAAACTATAGCCCCCAAACTAATGAAAATATAGTAGAGAGAAAAAAGAAGAAACTAGAAAAAGTAACATGAGAGAGAAGGGTGTTGGGGTTGTGTTAGTGCAAATCAACAGGAGCACTCATGCTTAAAAACTGAAATAAAATCAACTTTTCTGCCAGATTAAAACAAATTGAATGTGAAAGACACTTTGGTCAAGTGATATGTAGGGAAAAGGTTGGATTTTTGTGTGCAAGGATACTGGTTTATCCACCTCTGTATTGCAAAAACCATTTGTCAGAATCGGGAGAGGCTGTGAAAACATTGGACAGGTGTCTGAAGCAGTGATGGACTGGATGCGAGCCAATAAACGGAGGCTGAATCCTGATAGGATGGAAACACTTGGGTGTTTTCCACAAATCAGAATTAGGTGTATACCCTTTTTCTGGGAGACACTGCACTCCCCCCTGAAAGATCATGTTTGTAGCCTGAGAGAGCTCCTAGCTCCCAACTTGTCACTGAAGTCTCAATTGGCTTCTGTGGCTAGGACTGCTGAAGCCCAACTTAGGCTGGTTTGCTGGCTTTAGCCGTTCCTGGGCTGGGATAGCCTGCCCTTTGTTGTCCATGCTCTAGTGACCTCCTTGGAGTACAGGTGGCAGCCATTTTAGGTGTGTTCAACTGACGCGCGATCGTTGACACGCAGGTTCTTTTGAACCCAAAAGAAGGCAGAATGAGGGCGGGACATGTTTATAGACACTCTGCCAACATGCACAAGGGCCAGGAGTGGAACTCCCATGAGAAATGGTCGCCACTGGTACTTGACGGTCCGGGGGCTCCAGGTGGTGCAGAATGAAACTGCTACGTTAAGAAGCAGGGCAGTCGGATGGGACCGTAACAACAACATCAACAACAACAATAATGGTACTCAAGTGGTATGTACCAAGTCATTGATCAAAGCATTCCACCCTCCTACTCAGGAGGAGAAGTGTATCAGTGAATTATAGTATTGACAACATTTCCCCTACACATTTTAGGAAGCCAGATAGATACAGGAAGTATTCAGCATTTCTCATAAACACCTCATTCCAAGCTCAAAGATCAAGGAGTCTACTAACTTTTAATTCTAAGCTGATAGTAAAATGATGCAAATTGCTCTTAGTGAGGGCAACTAATATGCCATTTACACAAAGAATATTGCATACATTATTTAATACCTACCCTGTTTTTCAATTACAATTTTACAAAGCTGTGACAGATAATTATTCAGAAGCTGAATAATTATCACTTTGAGGATGTCAAGCATGTGGAATGAAAGCCTCCAGAAATTACTTTTGTAATTCATTAGTTTATTATTTTTTTGCTACTATTCAAATAGTCATCAATGACCCAAGTACATGGATCCTATTGAAGTACATGGGTCTAATGATGGGTGGGGACTCAAGACAGCCTTTTCAGAAGTGGTGCCCAAGATCTGAACAGCCTCCCAAGGGACAGCTGCCTCATCCCTCTTCTGCTTTTAGACAGGCAGTGAAGATCGTTTTATTTCAACAAGCTTTTGTAGATTATTTCCCTCATATTATTTCATCCTGTCAATGCCCTTTTAATCCATTTTCAAGACTGTCATGGTTTCATTTATTTCATCATTTTTTCTGACTATAAGTTGTCTTGAAAATCAGTCAGAAAGGTAGGACATACATGCTGAAAAATAAAGCCAAGGCAATGGTTCTCCCACGTGGTCTGTCCACAACTGTTTCTTCAGAGGCATTCCATGGAGTCTCAAAGAAAGTAAAAGGAAAAAGAAAAGAAAACTATGAAAAAATAGGTGTCACCCTTGTTGGTCCATTGGAATATCCATTACATACTTCCGGTCATACTGGTTCAAGTAAATACTATTTCAATTGTTCATCTTTCTTCCCCCTCTTGTCATCTCTTCCTTCTTGCAAAAGGGGGTGTATGGGGTGTTAGGGGAGGAGCAGGACCTGGGGGGGGGGACATCATGCTCCATCTGGGGTAGTTTGTCCATCTTTGGTCCCCATCTTGCATTCAGCTCTCACCTGTGGCTCCTAGAAGCTGTCAGCACAAGACCTGGAAATGGCTTTGACTGGCCGGCTAAACCAGGTGAGGGTAGCTGATGGGTCTCAAACCCTCAGTGAGTTAGGGACTTCTCCTGCATGCGAAGACAGGCTCCAGTGGATTGAGTGGACGAGACCAATAGTGGGACCAATGGCCAAGCAGGCGGGTTCTGTATGTGATGTAGAGGGAAGTGAGGCGCAGATGACGCTTGTCAATCTGAGAACATAGCACATCTGGGAGAAGGAAAACACCTAAACATCAGCTGCCTTGCGGGATATCTTCGGGAGAAGAAAAGTCTAAGGAGTAAACCCTACACAAATCTGGAATGGAGTTCCTAGGATAGCAGGATGGCATCTTGTATGTCTTTTTCCGGCAACTCCTGCGCCAAGCTGGTGCCAAACGTATTGCTCTGCTTTCCTTTAGATCACATAAATGAGGTCAAGAGGGGAGTCTTGTTGTCTTGGCAGCCCAGGACCTCCATATATGCTGCCCACGCTTGTGCCCTGGAGAGGTCACTTTGGTGCTGCTTAGGCAGCAGTTTGACTTCACCCTCAGGGGCGCACTCCACTATCTCACTTGAGATACAGATGCAAACAATCGCGACATATCGTATGTGTGGCAAGTTGTCCATAGGTGGTGCTATCAAACCATAGGAGTCAGGGAAAGGTGAATGAACACATAGAACAGGAATAGAAGAATTGCAACCACAAATATTTAAATGACTCCACGTAATGTACCGAACTATAGTATGATGCTAGGCAGTATCAAAAGGCACCAAAGTTGTGACTGAAAATGATGGTAAACCCGCAATTAAAGTACAGTACAATTACTTATATCCAGATATAGTATGACAGGGAGATTCAGACCTGAGTTAGACAAGATGCAGTGAGAATCCTAGGTCTTCCATTTTCCCTCCTTCATTCTGCAAAAGAGCAGTAAGCCACAATAGCCAGCTTAACTAAGTACCATGCGGAAGTAAGTTGGTTTATATATGAAAAGCATCACTACATAAAAACTCACAATTCAGTCACCTCTGCGGAGTTCAAACATAAGATTCTCCTGAGCATCTTTATCTGAAAGATCCAGTTATTATTCCAGCAATGTAGGTTCCCTTTGTCTTCTCACAAAATTGTGAGTTTCATTTAGAAACAAAGAGTGCAACTCTTGAACTTCATAAGGTCACAAGAGCTTCTAATTTCCCATGTCTCCTTGTAATTACTGTGAAATGCAGGTCCACAAATAGCTTACCAAATAATAAAAAGTCACAGTGCGACAAAATAGGAAAGTATACATATGAATAAGCTTTTGTAGCCATTTAACATTCTGCACTGTATTCAAATATTCTATTGTTCATTCTGGGAACAGTTTCCAAATTATACATAATTAATCAGACTAGAAAATGTCAAGTAAACAAATACATTACAATGATAAACCATTCATTAAATACTAAACAGTGGCCCTCCTTCAATACTGCAAAAAATGCCCTCATCATTACTAATGTACCCATGAATAAAAATAATTTGCTAGGCAATCACAAACTGATTGGCTAAGAAGAGTTAATGAAGCATCTTTCAAGACCACCACCACCCTTTTTCTGAAAGAAAATTAAGATAGCAATGGTCTCATTCAAACGATTTGGCACCTTCTCCATCCATATAATTCATAACACAAACCACTGAATTGGAACTCGAAAAGGACAAAAGCAGTTCACTGCATTTGTTCGCTAGCAAGCATGCAAAGAGGAGCATGTAACAAGACAGAGAGAACATTGTATGTAAAATCGCTTGACCATCCTCCTTGAGGCAAATCATTTTCTCTCCAACATAAAATAAAGCCTTCTTCTTAGGACAGTTGAAATGGCTTTTAATCTCCATGCACGCACTAATGCTTTCTGGCGTTAGTGTGCACATTTAATTTTGTGTGTGAAGAATAAAATTGTTTTGAACAGGAAGTTTATAAGGAAACACGGCATGTTAATGACCAAGGGCTCCGACATTCCGCAAAGAGTTGAAGGGATCATCTTTTTAAGCAAACCACACAAACACACACACACACACACACACACAAAATAGAGCAGCCTATATAATATATGGTCGACTAAGTCATTCACTAGGTTCGTAGTGAAAGTTTATTGTTCTGTTTTCTAGTACAATAAACTACAAAGTTTATACAGTAAAAAATAACAACAGCCACAAAGCAACAATGCAATTGTAATGCTGACATTTTGCGACAGTACAGAAGAAGAAATGTCCATGGCCTCATCTTTCCACTCTACTGCACGCATAAAAGCTAGAACTACTAATTTTAACACAAAAACCTTTCACATTTAGATGCAAGCTCCATATAACTCGGGGGTGCTGGATATCACCAGGTAGAATTCCAAGGAATGCAATAGGGAAGAACACAAAAAAAATATAAAATGAAGTTTTGAAAGAAAAGAACCGCACAACTCTCCAGAGGGCGAATGACAAGTTCCACGTCACCCTGTGTTCAGTTCTCATCAAAGCAAACTGCCTGCAGGGAAAAGGAAACTGTTACAGAAAGTAGTTAAGCTTTGGGGACTGTGAGAAAAAAGCAGACTGCTGTTCAGTAGTCAGGATTTCCCTCAATTTTTTGAACTGTGGCATTCCAATACCCTCCAGCTACCATGTATCATATAGAGGAGATTGGACATCAAATAGACATGCACAATTGACAAGTCTATCAATGCCCTAATGTCCAAATTATTATTGAGCGGAGAACGCTATCATTGTTCATTCTTTAGGTCATTCTCAAAAACTCACCAAGACACAGGAGCTCTTACCTCGTAGGTAGAAAAATTCTACTTGACAAATTGTGTCAGATGTATTTTGTGCGATTGAGGGCTCTCTCAGCAAAATGACCACTTTCATCGGTGATTTTCTCCCAATCCGTTTGTCCCACCACAAAACCAATGGCCCTCTTTCTGTCTGCATCCTTTTTTTCTTCAAGGTCTGCCCACCTTACCTACGAAGAACACAGCATTGGGATGATACTCAGTTCCAGAAAATAAAGCGAGACATTTTTGCCAATAATACAGTTTTGCTCTCAGCGAAGGTTTCAGACAACTTAGAAAAAGGGAAGGCAACTTTACTGGTTCAGCATTCTAGAATGCTCAAAGATTTGTGACCCTCACTAGTTAGCAAGTAGAATTTATTTAGTGTCATATTTATTTATTAAATTTAGATCCCACGTCTTCTTCCAAAGAGCATAGGAACTAGTGCTCTGAATGTGCAAAGCAGGGAGCCTTTCACGAAGATTTTTGCCTCTTCTTCAGCAGATGTGAAACTGTTCACAAGGAATTCGCTGGGGGAAAAGAGTGAACCTGTCCCAGTTGCCGAGACAAGAGAGATGACATTCCTTGGCTCGGCTCCATTTGCGTTTAGTTTAGTAGTTGGGCAGGAAGGGGATATGTATAAAGATGCACAACCAAATGTGTGTCTTACTACTGTAAGGGAGTGCAGATGTGATTCTTCCATTTGCATGGCATTACTTTCAATGGGATGCATGGACAAGGAAACTGCCAGCGCACTGTAGCAAGTTGTCCAGGCAATGAGGATGTGCTCCCTTCCCACCACAATGGATGCAGGTGCGAAAGTGAAAGCATATGTGGAAAGAAGTGCAGGGTTTTTCCTGTGTCCTCTCCCTACACCCCCTTCCAGTGTTTGGTACAAAAAATCAAACATCATTACAATTTGGCTTAGCACTAAGTGGAACCAATTCTTCTTCAGGGAACCTGTACAAACTTCAGGGCAGCTCTAATGTGTGTATTCAAGCCATATTGCAAGTCTATCAAATACCTCCATATTTTCCATTTCCCTACTTATTTACTGTTTCCTCATCTTCTTACTAAGTAGCCTCTGATGCCTTTAGCTATAAATGCGTACTACTAAGCTTTGCTATCTTCCCTGTTTTTACAGGAGCATGACGAGATACGAATTTTTAGAAGAAATTTTCAGAAAGAGAAATGGAATCTAATGGACATTAAAATGAAAGCAATGGCCCCACAGTGCTTCCAAACATAGATTAGCTGAACCAAACATATAGTTCATGCTTTAGGGAAAACTTTCTGGTTGAGACCCTCTGAGACATTAAACCAAAATTACTTTATTACCCTCTTCTTTCCAGGTTCAGAAGCACGGGTATCATAATCATCTGGAAGCTGAAGATAATCTTCCATTCTGCTGGCAATTGCTTCCCAATCACGCTTCCTCTTAGCACCAGTTCGCAAGCCATCCAATTTGTCTGAGAACAAACATACAGCCTCAGGGTTAAAGGGGAAAAGCACACTTGTGTAATGCCCAATACAAACAAGATGCACGGGAATGCTTTCAGAAGGGTAAGTTGCTATCTTATAGCAGTGGTATATGCAAATTCTTGGGTGTCTTCATGAGTAAAATGGCAAAACCCATTGTCACTTTTTTGAAGCATCAATCTGTGATGATCTGGGAGAAAAATTTGTGCTGGATAATCATACAACAGGCCATATAATGTAGCGATACTTGAACATGTTTTTGAAACGATACAAATTTAAATACTAAAGGAAGTTTTTAATACCTTGTGTTATGCCAACGCTGTGGCAAATGCGTATCAGTGCACCTGCCAGATATCTACATTTATTTTTGAAAGACTATAAGACGGCTTTTGAACTGACTGTGTTGGAGTCAAGGACATTTGACTTGTGGTGCAGAACACCAGCCATAAAAGGAATAAACCCACAAGCAGTTTCTCACTTTCTTCCTTTGCTTGAACGGATATGACTGTCCTCATGTGAAGTTCAGTATTACTGTTCTAATAAACTGTTGGTGTGGTCAGGTTTTCCTGAACATTAATCTTTAAAAATGTGTATTATTAGGAAGCAGTTGCTATTGCTGAGAAGCAAACTGGTATGAATAGGTGAAATTTGTGTCAGAGCTCACAAACATTTTCTATATGCATTATTTGCTCCTCACCCCCCTTCCCCGGTTCATAATGTACTACACAATTCAAATAACGTACTACACAATTTAAAATTATTTATACCAATCTATTTTAAGTGTACAACAGTATGTTTAATGCTATAGGTTTTCTAAATGGTTCCCAGAGATTGCTATTAAAAATTAGCAAACCCCAAACTATCTGTCTGTAAACAGAGCCTTGTCTTGCCTATTTGCCAGAAAGCAGAAAATATCAATTTAAAGAACTACAAAAATTAGCTTATTTATTAATCCAGTGAACCAAAGTAGCAGCTATATCTAATTTAACATCAAACTACCAAAGATTTTTCTGTAAATCAGAACAAAAAATGTTAAGTATGAAATAAATTCCATTCAAATAATCTAAATGCCATTTTTCTATTTTTGCTGGAACTACTTCAAGCCTGAATGATGATAAATGCTATAAAATTTACTCAAAATTATATTATTTGGAAGAATAATATTCATCTATTATTTAGCTACCCTTATATTAACCTGTTTTTAAAAGTTAAAAACGCAAACTATATCCAATTAAAAATGGCAGTTACAGCTCCAAAGATACCATCTGCCAATAGTCAGATATAAGTATTGTTAACATTCTGCAATAATAGAAGTGTTTTGAAATCTGAGTGTTATGCACAACATTGCTCAGAAAAAAAACATTTTCTATCAAAGATCTTAGAATCATGAATAGCAACAATTAATGTATAAATGCCATGTTAGCAGATATCTTTACATATTCATTTAAGATTATAAGATATGAAGTTGGAACTTGTACAAAAGAGGGCCAGGAGCCAAAATGTGCTTGTGTATATGTTGCAGATTTTTCTTTCCATATGACATTCTTCAATGCTGCATAAAAACATGTTCCAGAACATCACCCCATCTTCAAAGCAACATTGGGGGCGGGGCTATAGGAGGGGAGAAAATCGCTGCTGCTCATGCAGCTCCTTGGTCACTGAGCCAGGAATCAAATTGTTCTGAATGAAAGCATAAACTGGCATATCTGATCATCAGCATAGAAGTGTTTATTCCCTCATTCAGGTAGGATATGAATGATGTATGCAATAGAAAAGTGAGAAAGAGGTACTGAACAAAAAGTCCTTGTTCATTCAGCGACCTGTTTCATAATATTTCGTTCCTTTTCACGATGTATTTTTAAAACGTGATGTAATTTTAAAAGGTATTATGGCACAATTTCTCCTGCTTATTTCCAATATGGAAGCCCTTCAAGCTTCTGATCAAATGCCATTCACATTGATATGGCTGTATTTTTTTCTGACCATGATGCGTATGTCTTATACAAATATGCTACAGTGAGTAAACGTCTGCTTAAGCTTTTTTCTGTAGTTATTCCACAAGCACATCCATGGTACACTGAGGATTCCAATCACTGAGGTTTTTCCACTGCTTTAGTGACCTTGCTGCATTGTTATATGTGTGGTGTTCTTTCTGTTGCTTGCATTTAACTTCCTTGTAAAATAAATTTCCATGAGGAAAGAAAAAAGTGATGTGAACCTAAAACTCTGCAAAATTCAACAAATACTTACCTCAATAAACATAAAATAAACAAAGAACAGCTTAAGATATAAGGTGCCAATAGTGATAGCCATTTCACACATTGTTTTAATAAAACAAACATTAGATCTATGTTTCCCATGAAGTTTGATTTGGTACCAAAATCATGTGGAAAAAAATGAATGAAAAGAGTCACTGCAAATGTGAAGTTGTCAGATGGACTCATGATCACTTAGCAGCAGTTACAGTTTTAGCTGAGGTAATAATTCATTTGCAAGCAGGTATGCAAGGAAATTTCAGGTACACAGTATTCAGATGAATGCCAATGCAGCATTTTATGTTATAGGCAACATTTACTACAATAAAAGGTTTAGCGTTTTACATACATCTATGAATCAGGAATCTAACACAGTGGCATTTCATTGAGGTTTATGAGGGAGCACTCACAGGGGAAAACATTTGGATCAGATTGCAACATTCAACAGCATTTTGTTTCAGAGCAATTTGGGATGATGAGCAGTATTCCTACACTACCTAAATGATTTTCTTTCTAAGTTGCCCTCGTAAAATAACTTTCACCAGGAGGGATGGGAGGTGGGTATGTCAACTATGAATATCACTGGCCATGGTACTTCTGGTATGGTAAGCTGGGAACGGGAGGGACTGTGCTTCTGTTCCTATGTGACCAGTCAGTTCAAAAAGGTACTCTGCTCCACGGAAATTATGCTACAGGGTTCCAAAAATATCCATCTTGAGTTCCTTGCTGTATAATGTGCGTCTGAAATGACTGAGAGAGGTCACCTGCAGACCTGGTCTGAATTGTCATCAGTATTAACATTTGACACACGATTCTCTTTCCATCTACATCAAAATGGACTACAGAAGCTCTGAACATGTGTTTGAAATTGGGAAAGAGGTTGGAAAAATAAAGATAGACCTTCTGATTAGCTTTAATCAGATGAAAGGTTAAACATTCTTTTTGCCAGAGTGCTCAACCAGACACTTCAGGGAATCCCACCAGAATGGCATGAGGCCAACAGCCCCCCCCCCCATTGCTGGTACCCAGGAACTGGTAGTTAGAAACACTGTCAAGTAAGACTGAAGTACTGTTGGCTGGTGATGTAGTTGAGCAAGAAAGGATTTGGACAGTTCTTGGTGGGCTTGCATTCACCCTAAAGGATTGGCTTTGCAGCCTGGTGTTGTTAGGTCTGGTCTTACAGATAACTTGAGTACCCTTAATGGCTCATAGCACCTTTTAAGCAACCTCACTTGGTACACAAGCCATGGTCATTTTTTGAAAAACAAGATCTGACCAGAGTTATGCATGCCTTGATAACCTCCAGTTTAGATCAGTGCTATTTGCTTTAAGTGAGATATCCTTTCAAGATCATCCAGAAACTTCAAATAATTTAAAACAAAGTGGCAAGTCTTACCTAGAACCGATAAGACTGATAGAAGGAACATTCTCAACAGCACTTAAAGAGGTTTCCTGTCTTCCAATTTGTTTCTAGGCACAATTCATGATGTTGGCTCTAATTTATAGAGCTCTAAAGCATTGGCTTGGGCCAGGTTAACTGAAAAACTGCCTATTCCCTAACAAACCTGCCCAGTTATTGTCTTCACAGGTTCTATTAAGCATGCTCCTACCTTTGAGTTGAAATGGAGGGCCACAAAAGCTGGTGCCTTCTGGCTCCTTGCACCATCTGTAGAGCTCCCTCTAATGTCCATTTGCTTAGTACCCTCCTTTGACCATTTTCAAGATGCCAGCTAAAGGCACTGGGTCTTTGCACACCCTTTATTACCTTTGTTTTCACGGCTGTCTTAAAACTGCTTTGAGAGATGGTTAAAATTGCTTCTAACCCCCATCGCCCCAATTGCCGACAGTTATGTTTTGACAATGGACTGAATTATTTATTTACATGAATTTCAATACCCTTGGAAGCTGCCTCAAATCAAAGCTGAGAGCTGAAGCACTAACATTTTTAAAGTAAATTAATGTAGGACTCTTCCTTATGTAAAAAATGTTACTGCTGGAAGTTTTACATGCAATGTTCTTATGAGACTACTGGTTTGTTTACAACAGTCACATAAAGACAAATTGTGCCTCTGCAGTGAGTATGTGACCCCAACAATTATCAGTTCATGAACTTATCTACACACACCTCATTCAGCGTCCACCCAACCATAAGGGCAACACGGTAAGACAGATGTTTCCTACTATTTGTTACAGTGCAACAGTTAGAAATTACAGGAACCCCCAGGTACAGAGTAAGTGAAGGATGTTTCCTATATAATTCTGCCATTTCCTCCCCACTGAATGTAGTATGCACAGCTGAATGTCTTCTATGCAAATCACGATGTACTGCTATCTCCTGCTTCGGTACCTCCAGAATTACCATCAGAAACCTTGGCCACCAGTTCCAAGTCACTAAATATCTAATTTAACCTAATGGACTGAAAGCTCATGAAACTACTATAATACTGAGACGATAGTAAGGAACACTCTCTGAACTTGAACAGGGACTGAATATGTAAAAACTCTCAATTATGCATTTGTATATAAAATTAATTACTGAATGCAAAAGGAAAAACTTCCTATAGTTACTATAGTTAGTCAGATATACAAGAGTATATAAGGTCAAAATGCACACACTCCCATAAGAAAATTATGTACCGGTAACTATTTACGAACTATGTTAAATCCATCAAGATTTTACACTACGCAGGTATGACAAAATATGACATTGAATTAGAGACAGTAATATATACATTTCTTGCATGTGAAGACTTTATTGGGTAGATTCTTTTCAACTACTTAGCTCTCCAGCATGAGATTTTGGCTGATATTAGGAATTTACAATGCTCTTTTGAGATTTCAATAGCACATCCAACAGAACTTAGCAGCAGAAAAGGTGAAAAGGCTATTTTATGCAAATAGTACAAGCAGTGAAATAGTCTCTTTATACTGCACCCTAACACTGAGTATGAGCGTATACACTGTGTGTGTGTGTATGTATTGTGAGCATGCACCAATATTCAAATTCAAACTCTGAAGGGTCACCACACACACTTTGTTTTCCAGCTTACGCTACATATTCTCAATGTAAATCCAAAGCAGAGCGATAGCTTCTCAGATAGCATGTTCAATTAATCAATTCTAAATTGATTATGGAAACCCCTTTCCTCTGTTGTACGATTGACACCAACCCAGACTGATATAGATATCTGCTCTGCAGTTTAATATAGATGATTTTATTTACTGTTTCAGATGATTTTTTAACTTTAGTATTGCCGTTGTGTATTACATTGACTTTTACAGCACTGAGACTGCTGTGATAAAGGGCAGGTTATCAGTGCTTTAAATACATAGACAAATGCTGAATATGCCTGCAGTACCTAAAATAATCCTGGAAGTTAAAGGTACAATGGAACCTCGGAAGCCGAACATAATCTGCTCTGGAAGGACGTTCGACTTCCGAAACATTCAAATTCAGAGGCGCGGCTTCCAGCTGGCTGACAGCTGGGCTTTTTGCAGATCAGAAGTCAAATGTTCAGATTCCGAGGAATGTTTGAAAACCAGAACATTTACTTCCGTGCTTTCGACGTTCGGGAGCCGAAATGTTCGGGAATGAAGTGGTTTGAGAACCGAGGTTCTACTTTACAATGAAGGGAATGGAGTACTTTATTAGTATTTTGTCCAGCAAAGCTTTCAAGACTGATGCTGGAAAGCAGCACTAATGGTTTAATTCAATTTGTTTAACAGAGAAACTGGAAAGTAATGGGAGTTCCTTTATGCCAACATATATCGTATTGTTCGGCATTATGTATATATTATTTCTTTGATTATTTCTTTCACAAATGTGCTAATAAAATTGATTTCAATGGTCAGGCCAACTTCCTTTTGAATAAGGTTTATTCCTATGAATCCTATCAAACAAAAGCTGCACTTCTACAAGGCTTTTCGATGCATTATTTAGCCTGGTCAATTAAATTACTGCATTATGGCAGTAGTATAAGAGGAAGCATGCTATTAAAGAAGATGGTTGAAAATAAACGTAAGACAGAAACAAGATGAAGTATGGGCTTCATATCTTCACTCAGAAGTATTGAGGCTTAATTACATGTAAAGAATGAACTGACAATTGATGTCATCACAAGTTGACCAAACTTTCTAGTAACAGTACTTAGACATGCTAGTGGTCATTTGTTGTTCCCAACTATGCTAAAGCAACGCATAATGCTGAGCAACATATGAAAACTAATCCATTTAATATAAATGCCCCGTAAATAAAATTATAGTGTAAAGAAGAATATAAATTGATTGTATTATCCTCAGCAGCTCAGCAGGAAATGCAAATACAACTCACTTATTTGAATGCTAGAATAAAAGTAACTGCATCACACAAACCACACAAAAAGCTACAAGTTAAAGGATTTGATTACTTGTACCTTTTCCAACAATAAAAGGTAAGTGCATATTACACAGCTCAGGGATATTTGTATTTTCAGAAATGGCATATTCAATTCATATCATTTTGCCTTAGGCAAGTGTTCAGAGCTGCAAACGAGAGATGTGCAAATACTGTCATATATATTTTACTTGGAAAAAAGAAATGAAATACCCACCTAGTTTTGCTTCAGAAGTATCCATCTCCCATTTGCTTTTCGGAATGTAACCCTAAATCATATACAGAGAGAAGCTCGAAGGATTAGAGAGAGATAAGAGACATAACATACATTTTAATTTGCAAAAGCATTATACTGCAAACATTTCCTTAGGGCTACCTGAATGAGAACTGTGAATGGGAAGAATGTTTTTTTAAAATGCAAACTACTGCAAAAAATAATAATCATAATTCCATCATATCCAGTGCAAGATATCACTCTCAGTAAATAAAGGGCTCCTGAGTCAGTTTACAGCAACAACAGTAGAAACACATATTACATACTTCTCAATGTGGCATGACCTGAAGTATATTTGTGACAAGTCACAGAGACCCATGCACATCATGGCTCTCCAGATATCCCCAACTCTGTGTGCTGCATCATAATGCCCTAATTTTTGGGAGGGGGAGGAGCAGGAAGGAGGCTTAAGAGGTTCTAGCTTTTGAGTTCTACCCATTGTTATTTGCATTCTTTCCAGAGTATTTTCCACAAACATAGGATCAAATTATTTATTCTGAAATAGGTATCTTTTTTCAACCGTACAGAAGAATTCCGCAATTTGTGTTCCGACTACATAGTGTATTTTTATTAAACAATTTTATAATGGCACACATATTTAATATGAGAGAACATAAAAATGCCGTGCGAATCCAGTTTTATTCCTTTGGCTAGCTTTAGATTATATTTTATATATGAGGATATCTCCATATGCTCAGCTTGAGTTTGATGATGTTTATGTTATATGGTGCTAGTCACAGATGTAACGCCAAGTGTAATGTGTGAACTTAAACAAGTCCGGTTCCGATCCAACGGAGCACGTCTGAAGTACTTCATGAGTAACTTGCTTTTTCAAAAATAAGAAGAAATCCCATCAACCAGCTATTTGGTAGCAAATGGGACTGAATACAGTGCTTGTTCTTTCCCCTGAGCAGCTGAAACTATTTCAGCTTTGTAAAGAAAACAATGTTTATGCAGCCCAGGCTGCTGGATTGGAAAGCGGTACTGAGAGAGAAACACGTTTTGTGAACAAGCCTGCCCCATTCAGCTACCGACATACATGCACGGGCCCTAAGTGGACCAAAGTGAAAGTCTGTAATAACAAAAGTACAACCCTCACAATCATTCTTCGTTAAGATTTTATGTGAACGGTGTGTCTCAACTGAATTTAACAAACATTTAACTTCATCCAGATAGGACAGATGTACAGTTAGTTGGTGGAAAACCTGATCTAGAAGCAGATGTACAACCTGTTTTGGATGTATTCTGCATTCTTTTTTATGAATCAGGTTTGTAGCATGAAGAATGCTCCTTGATCCAGTGCTGATTTTCAAGGTTGTGGCTTGGAGTGTCTTTTACCTGCTTAGGCTGTTATACCAGCTGCTACCTTCCCTGGAAAATTCACATCTGGTTGTAGTCATTTATGCACCACAAAACTTTGTAACCCGCGTTACATGGGGTTGCCCTTGAAAAGCGTCCCAAGACTTTAAATAGTGCAAAATACCACAGCCAGGTTGCCAGCAGGAACGAGCCAGTCAGAGCATATTATTCCAAGTATTGGTTGATCTGCATTGTCTGCTGATTGGTTTTCAAATTCAGTTCAAGGTGTTTGTTCTTACCTTTAAAGCCCAACACATCTTGGGCCCTATGTATCTTAAAGGCAAATGTATCTCTGGTAAGTACTACCTCAAGGGCCTGCACAATGCAAAGTTTGACGGTTGGTGGGTAACGAGTTTGGTGGATGTCCACTAGGAACAGAGAATTTTTAGTAGTACTACTAGTTCTATGAAATGCTCTCCCCAGAAAGAATCACCTAGCCCCAAAATGGTATGCCTCCAGGTGCTAGTCAAAAACTTGACTCTTTGGGAAGACGTTTGGAGCCCGGTGATTCTGTTCTCTTATGTATGAGTTATTCCATAGTCCCGTGTCCCCTGAAATGTCCACTGAAATGACCATGTTGTCTTATTTTTGTTCTGCCACTGTGTACTTTTGCTTTGGTTTTTACTGTGCTCTTTTTATTGACCATGTTACTACCTGTCTGGATTATTTATATAATAAAGCATGATATAAATATTTTAAATAAACAAACCTTGTAAACCCTTATAGGTAATTCAGTTCATACAAATCCAATGAATGAGTCTGAATTCCATAAGTACATTTAGTTTCCTCATTTTAGAAATTCAGGAGTTTACTGCTTCTGCGAGAATGTATTAATTTGATCCTTAGTTCAAACCATGAAAAGCAAACAACAGAGGCCGAAGACAGAAGTGAAAAAAGGCAGAGGAGGAACTCGTTTCTTCTTCTGATAGCCCCACAACTGCTTTTCTCATTCCTTCTCCACCCACCCTTTTGAAATACTGCCCCGGTTGTTGCTTTTCCTTACAAAACAAATTGAGGAAAAGGTACAAAAAATTTTGTATAGTGTGTAATTTGGCCCTCACTTCTGCTATTAAGAAATGGCATAACACCAATGGGAGTAATTCCGATTTCAAGAATGAAAAGCAAAGAACCTCTCAAATTGGCGCAATATCTATCCCTATGTATTTACAATATTTCCCAGCTATTAGCCATTGGGCCAAATTTCTTCAAGCTGTTTCGAATGGCGCTGAACCTTACCTGTGAGTTCTGCTCACAAAATGGGGCTTCCCTCTCCACTGCAACCTTCTGCACACCCAGAAAAGCAGTTCCTGAGGGTTTGGAGACCCTCTGGAAGGGCATGAAATAAGCGTGGAAAGGCTGCAATGGGAAGGGAGAAGTGCTGAACATATGTAGTATCTTCCCTTGTGTAAGGAGAAGTACCTTTTGCTTGGCATCTTTGGGTCCAAACCATTGTCATTGTGGATCAGAAAATGTGGATCAAGAAGTGGTGAAATAAAATAAAGTGCACAGTAAGAATAAATGGACTGTTATTCCAATGGAGGGATGTAGAAAGTAGAGTCCCCCGAGATTTGGTATTGGGACAGGCACTTTTTAACAATGTAGAATTAGGGGAGAGAAGTGAGGAGGCCAAGTTTGCTGATGTTCACCGTCATTAAAACAAAAAGAGATTGTGAAGGGCTCTGAAAGGACCTCTCCAAACCGTGATAATGGACGACTAAAATGGCAAATGCATTTTAATGTAAAGAAGAGTAAAGTGATACATGTCGGTGCAAAAAATATAAATCTCACGTATATGTTCAAGCGGTCTGAACTAGTGTTGACTGACCAGGAACAAGACCTTGGGGTCGTAGTGCATAGCTCGATGGATATGTGAATATGTTGACCCAGTGTGCAGCAGCTGTGAAAAAGGCAAATTCCATGCTTCGGATCGTTAGGAAAGGAACTGAAAATAAAATTGCCGACATCATAATGCCGTTTCACAAATCTATAGTGCGACCGCATTTGGAATACCGTGTGCCTTTCTGGTTGCCTATCCTCAAAAAAGATATTGTAGAATTGGAGAAGGTTCAGGAAAGGGCAACCAAAATGATAAAGGGGATGGAGCATCTCCCCTGTGAGAAGGTTAAAAATATTTCAGACTCTTTGGTTTAGAGAAAAGTTGAGCCAGAGGCAACATGATAGAAGTGCATTATGCCATGTACGTTATGGAGAAAGTAGATAATTCCCCCCTCGCTCATAGCAACAGAATTCATGGACATCCATCCAACGAACCTGAATGTTTCGAGATTCAGGAAAGATAAAAGAAAGTACTTCTTCACATAGTACACAAATTATGGAATTCTGTCCATAAGAGGCAGTGATGGCCACCAACTTCAGAAGAGAGGCTTTAAAAGAGAATTAGACAAATGCCATCAAGGGCTACTGACCCTGATAGTTGTGTCCACTGTCAGAGGAAGTACGCTTCTGAATAGTATCTGCTTAAGTGCTGTTGATGGGGGAAGGTCCAGGACGCTGGTGACCCTCCTTTGCCAAGGTCCTAAGTCCGTCTTAGGCTAACAAGCTTTGGTATTTGTCCATCCACCTGATGTTTGAAGATCTTCAGGAACAATGCCAACCTCCAGACCGGTCCTCTCAGTCCCTCACTGAGTCAGCAGAAAACAACGCCCCAAAGACTAAACCAGACGCATCGATGACTACATATTTATGAACTGTTCTCAATAAACCTAACTTTTAGTTTAACAGTATAAACCACATTTGTGTGGATTTTTAATAGCTGCTATCCTTCATCCTAATAGTTGTTTCTGATTAACATTCAGAAGGGGATTATTGGGAAACAGTCAGGAACAGGCTACCCTCCTGAGGAAGGCAACATCCTCATGGTCTTTTACATGGTCTGTAAAAGATCTGTCCCCCCCCCCCCAAAAAAAATCTACCTGATGGTGCTGGATCTGCAGACTTTTAAACAAGAGAACTCAGTGGCTATAACAGATGAACAGACTTTGAGCATCTGAAGCTCTTACACCTTCTGAGGTAAATACTGAATACTCTATGAACATCAAGTCAAAACCATTGCTCTGAGTTGGAGCATATTATCCAAATAGTTCACCTTGCATATGCATTTAGAGTTCCAAGCTCCAGCTTAATAGAAAGCTCAACCAGCAGTCCACTTTTGTACAAAGCCTTAGAACTGAAATTAAGACAGCAAAAATACTTACAATGATGAAGTACTACAAATAGAAATCATTGATTCTAGAGCGTGGAAACGTCCTTGTGTCCTCATATAATTCACAATGGACCTCCCCACAAGCAGTAATACTATAACTATGTCACCCTCAAAATATGTAATAAGAATTATGTATCAACTATATATCTGATACACTCATTTTATAACCCTTTAAAATGGTTATATTCCTGTTTGGGTTCTGTAAACAAAAAATGATTTAAAATAAAACTCAAATACATTACTGTAAACGTTCCTTTCAAAATCCTTTCAAAAATAAAAATAAAAATTTGAAAAGTAAATAAACAATTTACCAACTTGAAACATGTCACTAACAAGCTTCTAAAAATGGCTCTTGGCCCAATATACCAGGGAGGAATTAGGAGTTCTGAATATATATGCACTGTGAAGCATTTTGATTATATCACAACTTAAATGTATCCACTATCATAAAGTTTCACTCATTTGAGACATGGAATTATATCTCGTTGTACGTTTAACCTCCAGTATCTTTGTCTTCCAGGTTACCCAGACTTTTATTCTTGCCATCAGAAGAACTTCCAAAGAACTCAGGAGCCAGTTGCTGGATGGTTTGAGAGACATCAAAATGTTACCAGTCATTGCTGGGGCATCTCCTTTCATCTCTAGCTACTGCTGCTCAACTTCCAGGCAGATCAGCAAAGCCAACTGAATTCCAGATGCTGGGATTTGGCTGTTTGCGGTGCATATATGCATATACATATATATATTGTTGTTGTTTAGTCGTGTCCGACTCTTCGTGACCCCATGGACCAGAGCACGCCAGGCACTCTTGTCTTCCACTGCCTCCCGCAATTTGGTCAAACTCATGCTGGTAGCTTCGAGAACACCGTCCAACCATCTCGTCCTCTGTTGTCCCCTTCTCCTTGTGCCCTCCATCTTTCCCAACATCAGGGTCTTTTCCAGGGAGTCTTCTCTTCTCATGAGGTGGCCAAAGTATTGGAGCCTCAGCTTCATGATCTGTCCTTCCAGTGAGCACTCAGGGCTGATTTCCATATACATATACGTGTGTGTGTGTGCGCGCGCGCAAGAATAATCAAAGAAACATGGTCTCCATAAAACAGTCAGGATCACCTCAGCTTTGCTTGTTCAAATTATTGTCACCAAAAAGCAGGAATATGTATCAAAGTCCAAAGAGGCCGTTCCACTGGCATGGTGCTCGTAGCTTCCAGATGGTTTTTTCCAGTTCCTTGAGTAACTGTTTTACCTTGATATTGGTTATTTCTTTGTCAGAGATGCATCAATTATTTCTTCACATGTCTCTGAATACAGCACCTTCTCATGGTTCAATTATATATGAATCTCAGAAATCTCATAAGCAAGCTGCAGAACCCAAGAATAATCAAAATCAACTGATGCATGGCACTTTTGTCTTCTTCAGAAACTTCAATTCAGAATTCTTTTTGGGGTGAACTGCTTCAGGATCTTGAAGTTCAGAAAGTGTTAATTGTGCCCTATTATCACTGAAGGGGAGGGAAGGTACCAGTGGAACTTCCTTGATGAGTTGTTCAACAGTAAAATGTAAAACCTGTAAGTGCTGTTCAACAGTTGAAACGACTACCTTCCATATCTCAGAAGTAAGTAATCGCACCAAAAGCTTAATTGGATTTCTTCTTTTTTAGTGGGGAGGCTTGGCCTGGTTAGGAAAGACAGGACAAATCTGGCACAATACACACAATCCAGCTGTTCTCTCTCTTGGACATCTTGGCTGGGGACTGTGCATTGCCATATGCTGTAAAAGAGCTGTAACAACAACCCACTTCCACAGGCAATGGATTCTGTGTTGGGCTGTTGTCCGATTTCTTCCTGACTTTGGTGTTGCATTAGAAAGAGGGGCCTATCTGGTTGTCAGCTTCTTAACCAAGCAATATTGGATCTTCTAGCTTCCTGTAAGCCATTAAACATGTAATCTCCACTCACGCAGAGCAAAGGGAACAACAACCTCCCTTTGGCTATGAGCCTTATGTTCCAATGTTCCATTCCATTGGAACACGTAATGCTGGTGGTCAACAAAAGAGGTTTAAAGACTCAAGGCAAATCTAAAAAAAATGTAGTATAAACACCAACAACTCGGAAACACTGGCCTGCGAGCGCTCCAATTGGAAAACAGCTTTTACCACAGGTGTCATGGGCGTTGAAGACTCTCAAACTCAGGACAAAAGGGAGAAAGGTGCATAGAGGAAGGCGCGCTTGGCAAACCCTCACCATGATCAACTCTCGCCCGGAAACCTATGTCCCCACTGTGGAAGGACGTGTGGATCCAGAATTGGCCTCCACAGTCACTTACTGTTACTCACTGTTAAAACCGTGTTTATGGAAAACAATCTTACTTGGCTGTGAGTGATCACCAAAGAAGTAGTAGTTCAAATGTTTTAGCCATAAGTTTCTACAGAACACATTGCCCAACATGGAACATGAAGCAAACTATCCTTATCTGCCATAGTAAAGTTATGTAGGTCCTCCCACAAGTGCTTATGACCAGTCTCAGTGAAGATTTTTCCTGTCTTGAACTATTTCATTCCCATCTTTAAGAGCTTTTAACCTCAGGTTATAGAGATGACATATATGCTTCTGGTAGAAACATTCAGTACTACCACAGTCTTTTATGGCACAGCAGAGATTGCAGGGGACTGTTCATGCACTTTTAAAGTATCTGAGAGACTCATGCACTTGAACAGCAATGACATGAGGAACATCTCTCAGATCTCTCAGAAGATAGTCTTACCATTTGAATTCCAGCTGGAAATTTTGGTCACCTGGGACCATGCCCTGATGTGCCTGTGGAATATACTATCTGCATTTTGCCTAAAATGGCTACTACTACAAAAGCAGTCTCCATGCTAGGCCAAAAAGAATAAAAAGAACATGTCTGTGGAATTATCCTGCCCTTCAACCAAGGTGCTAGCAGGATGTGAAGATGGAAAGTGGAATATAGAATCCAAGAAAGGATCATTAGTACTGTGTTTCAGCATATCCTAACATTTCCTACTTTGTAATCCCCTTCAAGAGGAAAGAGAGTGAAAGATGTCCCCTCTCTCAGTCATCGGTGATTACATTAATGATGTGTCTTGCCTCTGCATCAGAGTTCCAGAGGAATTCTGTCCTCCATTCAGAAGGCTGTATTGAAAGTACTTTGTTGCAGGAATGTCACGTTTAGAGAGTTCTGCTTTTTGGAGTTGGGAGAACAATTTGCCTCTTTGCTGACTGCTCTCTTATCAGCTGAATGAGAAGGAAATATTTTACTTAAGATCTTCAAAGGCTGAAATCCTGTAGTGGGGGCTTGCTTCTGAATAAACAAGCACAGGATTTCAATCCAAGAGCTATTTCTTACAGCTAGAAAAAGTTTAGTTAAGAACAATTCTTCAGAAAACAGCAAAACGAAACTAACAATCTGAACATCTCTTTCTACATTCAAGATTTCAAAGAAAATTTCTCCATTCTAAAATAACGAAGTATAAATCCAGAACTCCCATATTGTTGGAAATGGTATCAGCCAGGGGGAGGGGATTTGGATTTTAGTGCAGACAGAATCCCTGTTAGGCACTGTAATAAGATAAATTTGTTGATGGGGTTGGGCTGATGTGTTTCCTACCAGTTCACTCTCTTCTTCCTCTGCATCTTTTTTGTTTTCTTCTTTCTGATCTTCAATGTTGGCATCAAAATCCTCCATCTCCACCTAAGCCAAGGTACAATTTGAAAACTACACATTACCTGTTTGTTAGAGATGTTGCAGCACTAACTTTGTACTTAAATAAGAGAGACTCAAAAACATTTCTTTAAATCAAAGATATGTATATACTATACAAGTAAGATTTATCTTTTCTACAGAACTGTACTGTATTTATTTATTCTTCTATTTCTCACCTCAGAAATTGATGAGAAATTTGCAACTTGCTTTTCTGTTCCACACACGTTCTTTAATACTGATAACTTTACATTACACTTCTCTTTCTCTCCACATATATGCAAATATGTTGCTTAAAAAAAACCCTCAAAATGTACACATTCCTATGCTTTCTTACAGTGGCAGACAACTTAAAAAGTCTTGAGCAGATGATTTTCTTCAGACACTTGTTATGCCTGTATTAAGTGTGAAAATGTGTATTTGTACCCATAGTATACTGTATAGGATCCAAAGTCACTGGCCCGTACAATTACAGTAATCTCTTTCAGAAAGCTAAGATATTTACTCAAGAGTGAAAGAGAGAAAGACTTTACTTTATGGAATGATATCAGTCAAACCACTATGTTTTGCTGTGTGTTTCCTCATGGGAGTCCTGTGGCGGCTTCGGGAGTGTACAATTCTTCCAGATGTCTACTACTTTTCAATTTAAGATTTCACTAAGCAATGAATCTTTAGTCAAATCCTTTACCTGCTTTCTACTTTAATAACTACAGTGGTACCTCGGGTTACATACGCTTCAGGTTACAGACTCCGCTAACCCAGAAATAGTACCTCGGGTTAAGAACTTTGCTTCAGGATGAGAACAGAAATTGTGCTCCGGCGGCGCGGTGGCCCCATTAGCTAAAGTGGTGCTGCAGGTTAAGAACAGTTTCAGGTTAAGAACGGACCTCCGGAACGAATTAAGTACTTAACCCGAGGTACCACTGTATTCATCTTTTCTACAGCCATGAATATCATATACATGGATAAGTTGGCTTCTTGGAAATCTCACCTCTTCAATAGCAGCATCTTGTAGCAAAGAGCGAATGTCTAAACGTATCATATGACGGGGTGCTGTTTCCCAATGATCAGCCATCTGGAATTGGGAAATGAGAGTTGGAGCAGTTTCTACAATATTCAGTATAAAGAATGCTTTGGCTACTAGGACCAATGCGGTACCATAAAATGTAGTACCTTCAAAAGAGACAAGTTTGCCTCCCCTACCCCCCACAAGGATGAGTAATTCTTGTAGCTCTAAGAAAATGTTAGTTACCTCTGTGACTCCAAAACTTTATAAAGTTACCTTACTGATCTCCTTGAGCTTGCGTCCATGGACATTTCTCTTGCAACAAGTTTGGTTGTCTGCAGTAATTTCAGCTAGGTAGACCTAGAAAGCATGGTGTTGGGGGGGGGAGAGAATGTGCTCAGAAACATCTCATTCATCCCCAACATATTTTCCAAAGTAAGCTTGGTGAACTAAGGAGAAGGAGTGTGTGCAAATTTAAATGGAAAAGGCAAGGCTAAATAAAAGAAAGCACGATCAGTGCCAAGGATCCATTTGGACTTATATGTGGAAAACGACTGGCCTGTGTGCTCACGACTGGCATGAGCCCCTCAGTCATTTCTTGGATTTTATTGCTCTTTTCTAGAGAGGCTTTCAAAGTAATTAACAACAGAACAACAAATATATTATAAAAACAAAGCACTATAAAGGCAGCATTAAACTATGTGGCAAACTCAAAACAACAATTCCCCAGTCAACTACAGCACCTGGATCGGGAACTTTTTATTGTCTTTCTGTAGGTGGAGACAAAAAAATGGTACTCTGATGGCAGGGAATTCCACAACTGGCTGCCATTCTAACTTGCAAAAGGGGAAAGTGGGCTGTATTATTTCCTTCGGATTTCCACATGGCTTCCTACCTTCCACCCGCCATCATCCTGCTAGTTTTTTCTATCATGGCCTGGTTAGATATGCTTCCAAGTCAGGCCAGGATCTCTGCTTAGGCAAAAATCTAGTTTAGGCCTTGCCCTTATGTTTCACTAACCTTGCTCTCTGCCTCCAGCCTGCTTGTTGCTCCCCTTATCAACTGCTTCAGGGCATCTTAGACCCTTGCATGACACCTCAATTTCAACTGATGCTATTAAGAGAGATTTAAGAGGCTACCTAACATGAAATCAGACAATTAGTCCATCTAGCTCAGAACTGCCTACCCTGACTGGCAATGGTTTGCCAGGGTGTCAGATAGGAATTAATTCCCAGCCCTACCTGCTGATATCAGGGACTGAACCTGAAATTTTCTGGGCTACAATCACCCCCTTAACATTCTTGGCAGTACTGTCCTTATATCCTACAGGTACCCAAGTTTGAGTTTGCCTTGGCTGCCAGTGGCCCAGTATTAATGCTCAGGGTTCAAGGGCATGGAAAACCTGTTTTAGAGCAGCTAACAATGACAGAGATTATCCAATAATATTTACCTCAAAACCTTTTGTTTTTGCAGCACTCCAGAACTGCTCAAAATGGCGTACTCTGTCATTAATTGCATCAAGGATGATAAAGGGGAAAAACCCATCATCCAAAGTCTTTTTGAAAGTTTTGAATAAGCTGGCACGATAGATTTCTTCCATATCAGCTTCATATTCATACTCCAAAATCTGCTCCAGAAAAAGAGAAGGTTAGCTAAAAGAAGAACGAGGCCTTCTTGCTAAAGTCTGAAATTCAGTTACTGCTATCACATATGCTGGTAAATATGTCACATATACTGGTAAATGCTACATAATAAAATTGTAAGGATGTCATCATACTGCAGTTCCCATGACTGCCAATAGATAGCCATGGGAACATTCAGGACTTCAAAGTGCAACATGGTGTTGTCTAAAAGCCCTATGCAGCCCAGCTTTTCTATCTGTGCCTCCTGTTGTCATTGAACACTACTGCAGTGGTCCAAACGTAATGGAGAAGAAATATGTTGCAAAAGTTGGATCCAGACATATGCTGGAGGAAGATGGGGTTTTTTTGTTTTTTTTAAAAAACAATTATTCCTCCCCCCTACAGTCCCCCATGTCCTTAGAAAATATGTTCCAGAGGATTGGGAGGAAGGGAAAGAGTTGAAAAATCACCTTTCCCCTTCATCTAGGGAGAATCTCTGCTGGATCTTAGTGCCTTCCACAAACAGAAGGATCCTTTCTGTAGTCGGGTGGGATGCTATGGATCTAAGACAAGGAGCTAATCAACAACTGAAATGCAGTACCTTCTTTTTAACTCTTTTCTTTGTATCAGGGTCTCTCTCTTCTTTCTCTATTTCAGTGATAAAATAGTCGTCCAGGCTGAGGACTCTGGGTGCAGCTCCTCCACATTCAACTTCCTTATCCTGGGAAGGAAACACACCATTAATAAATAGCCTGCATTTAATGGTGCAAGTGCTTCAACTCAGAACATACAGCACCCCCTCACAGTTAGTAAGAGGGAATTCTGTTTTCCCCTCTTCATTTCAAGTCAATCCAGCCCCTATATATTTTAGAGCTCTGAATGATTAAATAAAGGAAACTGTGCACTCAGACAGCTGGGACCAAAATGTAAGGGCGTTCCACTCTTCAGTGAAGACTGAAGATGCCAAAGAAAGCTGCTGGTTATTCACTCACCCTGATAAGCTTAGCAACGTGAGTCTTTCCACTGCCTGGCAATCCTCTCATGATAATGACAATCTAAAACAAAGACAGCATAAATTAATTGTGTTATTATTTACATATTCATTGCATTTAAACACCGCCTTTCTGCCAAGGCACCCAAGGTGGTTTACTTCACTGTTCTCTCACTGGGAGCTGCTGAGAGAAACATTTTGCAACCACAGAATCAACCAGGCACCACATTTAGCAGCATGGGGAATGGTAATGGTAGACCAGTCAACTCCTCTTCTTGCTTGCTACTCAAACATGGCAGCCCCTGTGTGGGGATTGCTTTCACCCTCACTGGGTAGCAAGCAAGGAGAGGGGAGATCTGGCTGAGCTTGGAGAGCAGGACTGCATCCAAATTCAGTCAAACTTTGGAAGGCATGGGAATCTGTCTGGGGAGATTACACATTACATAAACATTAGCTGAAGTGTCTATTTCTCATGCATTTTGTTGCTTAAGATTAGAAAGCCACATTCACACTACTCACCCTCTCTGGTCTACTCTCCCTTCCAGGTGGCTTCAGTATATCATCCACATTTTTAGATTCTGGTTTCCTCTCTACACGAGGGGCAGGTGGTGGTTGTCGGGGTAATGATGGAGCAGAAATGGGCATTCTTTCTTCAGGGTAATTTCTGCGGTCACCTTAACACAAAGTTCACACAAGAGAGAAAAAGAAAATTAACTAAAATTATGCACTGAATTAAGAGACCATTAGTTCCTAAGAGACTTCAACTTCTGTTTCCAATATGCTTTGTGGGCAATTTACTCATTAGTCTGTACATTTCATTCATTTATTTTAAAGTGAAGTTTCTAAACTGGAACAAAAACAAAGAAGAACCCCAAAAGATGGCATAGTGCAATAAAAATGAATGAATAATATTTTCCCTTCAAGCTAGAGACTTTGATACTGACTTCTTCTGTGGTTTAGGAAAGTTAATGAACCTTCGTTTCAGGAGAAAAAAAATGTGCTACTTTGATTTTAGCCACAAGGACAAACAACAGAAATGATTATGAGAAAATTAATCCCTCAGAAATAGGATAAATTAAGGTGTGTTCTCTTACGTACTGAATAACAGATATATTGCTTGAATTGGAACATTTATCTAAGAACATGCAAGGGTCTAATTAGGAAAGCAAATAACAAAAAAAACACATTGCAAGGCATAAGAATTTTCTATTACCATGTGTAGCACAATTTCCAAATACAACTTTGCATAATCCTTTTTTTTTGGGGGGGATAGATAAATAAAATCAAGAAATGCTTAATGTACAGCACCTGCTTTGAACACGTGATAACCACATTGGGTGATTCATGAATGAAGAAACCTAACAGTCTGTCTGCACGAAAGTCTTACTACAGTGGTACCTCGGGTTAAGTACTTAATTCGTTCCGGAGGTCCGTTCTTAACCTGAAACTGTTCTTAACCTGAAGCACCACTTTAACTAATGGGGCCTCCCGCTGCTGCCATGCCACCGGAGCACAATTTCTGTTCTCATCCTGAAGCAAAGTTCTTAACCTGAAGCACTATTTCTGGGTTAGCGGAGTCTGTAACCTGAAGCGTATGTAACCTGAGGTACCACTGTATAAGAATGAGATAGATTATTCATATCCTTGTATATAGGACAACGGCTGCAATTCTACATGCACTTAGAAAGAAGTAAGTCACAATGAACTCAGTGGGACTTACTTTTTAGTAAACATGCATAGGATTGCACTGTACATAATTATAATGGACTGTATCTAATGCTGGGTGAAAAGAGTTCTACTTGTGTAGCTTCACCTTCCTCTCCTTTCATTGTGCACCCCCAAAATCTTCTCCAGAGGGTCCCCCAATCCCTATAGCAGAATTTGAGGATGCATGGGAAGTCTGCAGGGGAGAAGAGGTGAGGGAAGTTCTGTTGCACAAGAGGAAGTTTACTGCATGAACAAAGCAGTGTATTGGATGCAGCCCAGTATCTATTCAGTACATGCAAAGGCTTCGAATACTGAAAATATTGAGTCTCAAACTTCATAGTTATTGCTTAAGGCAGGGAAGGGGAACCTGTGGCCTTCTGATGTTGTTGGACTCAAACTCCTATGATTCCACACTAGCTTGGCCAATAGTCAGAAGTTGGGTCTTACTGATATTAATAATCAGACAGACCGAACAGAGTTCTTTATTTATATAGATGTATCTATACTGCCCTTCAATCAAATTCCTGGGGTGCTTCACATAAAAAAGTTCCATTACATTGTAATGCAAATATGATCCTTAAAACCCCTCTCTCTGAAGCAAGGAGGGTCAAATGCAACTTCAATCACTGATAATACTTTTATCCTTAATTATAAGGAACAAGTAAGCGAGTTCATATTCCCAAATTCATTCTGAGACCTCAATATTCTAATATTTCTTCAAGGTTGAAGATTTATACCTCCAAACATCGGAGGCCCATGATCATAAGGTGGACGATCAGGTTTTCTGTCATATGATTGTCTTTCAAATCCTCCCCGTCTTGAGTTTGAATGGTCTTTGTCACGATAGGACTGAGCTCTTGAAGGAGATGGCCTGCTAAATGAAGACAGCATATGGTAACACAAACTGCATGATTTATTTGAATATTACACATTTAACAAAAATGTACACGAGATTCTCTGATAAACCAATTTCTGGCCAATCCTATACTTTGCTGCCAGATGCAATGACTATCCTTTATTAAGCCCACCCCAAGTAATATATCTCTGTATGAAACAGTTACAATCTCAGCCGTACACCTTTCAACCAATATACCAATATACCATACACCTTTCAACCAAGAGGGGAAGAACATTTTAAATGTCTGTCCTCCCATGGCATATGCTCACAAGGCTTCAGCTCACAAGCAGGACATGAGTACAACAGTGCTCACTTCACTTGTGATTCCCAGCAACTGGTATGCATACTCCCTCTGAGTGTGGAAGCAGAACATGATACTCACATGTACAAAAATCAAAGAGAGAAGTGACAGTTCAAAAACTCAGCACCGCAACCTGTATGAAGACACACTTCTGAATCCTACTTATTCCTCCTATGTTACATACCTGTCATCTCGTTGATAGCGTTCTTTGTCAAATCTTTCCCGTTCATGTTCTCCAGAAATACGGTCCCTGTATGGCTCTCTCTCTCGCCTGAAGTCTCTGTGATCAATATTGACATTATTTTGCCGCTCAAAATAAGCATCTCTTTCCTTGAGATATCGTTCCCGTTGGCCTGGGTGTTCTGGAAAATGAAGTCAAAATAATTTTAAGAGTTATTCTACAGGATCGCAGAATGGGGTAGAAGCATCAAGTAGCAGATTTCTTGGGTTGAACTATTTGACTACAGCAAGGGATTGCAAGTTTGAATGCTCCTTCATTTTAAACACACCATTCAAGACAAAACACAAACAACATGGAGAAGGCTATTCTAAATCTCTCTTCCCCAACGTGCTAGTTTTCTACGTACAGGGAGCTTTTTATATGAGGGGGCATTCCACCCTACCTTCAGTCTGGTACAGTCTTGAATTCTGCCACCTCAGTCTACATCAGCCGTCCTCAACCTGGTGCCCCAATAACCATGGCCAATAGGAATTATAGATGAAAACATCTGGAGTGCATCAGGTTGGGAATGGGGATGGCTGTTGTTCTCCATAATATCTAGAACAACTCTTTGAGTATTTACAAGAATTCAAGACCTGGTGAAAGCCATATTACTTTAAAAAGGAGGTGGAACGTGTGTATGTTTTAACAAGGAACCTACCAAATATCAAACTGATGCCTGCCTTCTACTTAAAAGAGACATCTCAGAGACACCAAAGTACACCCACCTTTTGAAAAGGGCTGCCTCTCATGAGGAGCTTCTGGACGCAGAGTTATACGCTCCCCATAAGGAATTTGTCCACCTTTACTGGTTATATCTGTCAAATACAAATTAGCAATAATAAAATTAAGAGATTGCCCCAGATACCATCTTCGAATAAATGCATTCAGACCATCACCAGCAGCTTGAACATCTTGGAGGCTGGGGAAGAAGATTTACCATCCGTGCCCTCCCCAGCATTTCCCTTTGGCTTTTGTCAATCTCTGCAGGAGGTATGATGATGGTAGTCAGCTGCAAGCCATCTAGCCTGGTGAGGAGACTCCTCCCACTCTGAACTGCATTTATTAAGCCCTTGAAGTGCAGTAAGACTAGATCCAAGAACTGGAACTTTATTGTCAGTTAACTTTTTTTTGTTTTGTTCTGTAATGTATTTATGTCCAGCTTAATTCTTTTGCAGTACTGAATTTATTCTGTTTGCTGAATTGTTGGTTTTTGTCCTATTTGAATGTACCAATATGTTTTGAATACTGCTTCTCTCCATCTTGCCCCATTAATGTTTTGTAGTCTGAAAATAAGTGGATGCCTCTTATAATTTGGTTGGGTGGGCACAACTTGGTGTAGAAAGGCAACTAAAAATAAATTAAGCCAAACTAAATCAGCCAACCAATAAGTGTCATTTCTTCAACAAAGACATTAGCTCGAGGGACAATAACAGGAAACAGCTGCCTTTTTTGTTTTAAAGAAGAGCTGTATAAATTGCTTAGTCATCAAACAGCATTTACCACAATGTGGTACTGTGCATTACTTACAAAGCTTTAATTAAATTAAAAACAGGCATTCCCCAGCTAAAGCTCTCACGAGAAAAACACCACAGGGAGAAAAACTAGCAATGCTGTAATTTATTGATGGCTAATTGTTTTGTTTCCAAAAAACAAAATAACAGATGCCAATAAGGAACCTTAAGTAGAAACGCACAAAAAATCACAAAACTGGTTTTGCTTAGTGGGTCCCCCACCTAATCAAATCTTGTCTGCAAGGAGGAACTGGGGTGTTTTGATATAGCAGCAACCTGACACAACAGTATATGTTTCAACATAACATAACAAAAGCATTAAAAAAGCAGAACTGCCTTCCTCAATCATTCCAATGTCAAACCAGTCCAGTATTCTGTTTCCAAACTGTTCATATTTTTATAAACCTCCACCATGTTATCTATTCTCTAAACATTTTAGCCTGAAATGTTTTAGCTATTCCTTACACGGAAGGTGCCATTAGGTTTTGTGAACCATTCAGACATACAATCAGTTTATGAATACCTAGGTAACAACCAATGTTACCAATATCTTCTCCTTTACATCATATTCTTGCAGTAAAATGGCAAGCTCAGACTGAACAATGGCAGTTATAGAGGCTGCAAATTGGCAGTTTATTATTTATCTGCATAAGGCCCAAAGTATTATTTGTTATTTCTATTGATTAGCCATCTCATAACACAAATACTCTGGATCATATTCTGTATAGGAAGGACTAAAACAAGAGCCCTTTCTCATTCTAGTTCATAGACAGGCTAGACGATTTAAGGATCAGGGAATCAGACATAACATCAAATTTCTCTACTAACTTATCAATGTAAAGATGCCCTAAAGGGTCCATTTTTAATGCACAGAATGTAGACCAGCACACTCCTCTGATGAGAATTGTATTGGCTATTTTTTTTAATGCTACAGGCATAATCATTCTGTTAATTAGCATTATTAAGATAAACAGTGTTCACCTTGCCCATGGCCGTGTCCATGCCCGTAGTCAACAGTCTGATGGATAATTGGTGGCTTGGAAAGTTGTGCTATACCTGACCCAAAGGAAGTTGCGACTGTCGATGAAGGTAATGAGAGATCTGATGCAGGTAAGTCATTCTCGGATTTTAACCCTTTATCTTCACTGCTATCCCAAAGTCCCTGGAAAGAATCCTCATCCCAACGTTCTTGGCTCAGGGCAGGTGATGATTTGACCATAGCAGCTGGACCTTGAGAGGCTGCTGCTGTTGAAATGGGAATTGGAGTACTTGGCTGTGTTGGTGGACCAGGCATTTTTACCGATGGGAGGGGGCCCTTTGTCGCTGGGACAGATGGCTTTGCAAGTGCAGCGCCTGGCTTGGCTGTTGGGGCAGCTTTCCGAAACATGACGGGTGGCTTTACTATTACAGCTGGCGTAGGCTTAATAGATTGCTCCTCTATTGGTATCTCAGCGTGCATTTCAGAAGAGGCCTAAATAAAAGGATATTTTAAAATAAAAGGTACATGAAATTAATAGCAATTTTAAAAATGTTGTCAGATACTGTCATAGCAAATGTGTACTTTGATACTTAAAACAGGCCTTTTGGGGTACAACATCGATAAAAGAGTACAAAGAAAAGGCTAATTCTATTTTTTTAAGATGGTTACATGGCATTTACAATACTGAAACTTATCTTAAGGAATCTGTATACAACTTGTGTCTGTTGCTGCCTTAGCAATCTCAGTTGCCCAATGCGCCTTCTCATCTAAAGTTCTTTTGTGGCCAGGTCAAGTTTTGTAAATCACCCAAATGTGGAGCAGCCATAGTAGTGAAAACAAAATATGACAAAACACAGCTACAGATAAAGTTGTGGCTACCTGGTGGTGATATGTGATAAATTTTATAAAAGTGTTGTTTTGCTTGCCATGAAGCAGTGGTAAGTCATTACTTCCTCCACATGGTTGCGTCTTTGAGATTTCTCTAAGCAGAGAAATTTACAAATGTTTGATCCAGCTCTCAGTTAATACGGAGTGCTTTTTCTCAGCTACATCTGACAGGCACCCAGTAACGCCCATCCATGTTTTGATAATCTCAGGGATCAGCTGCTCTAGCATGCCCTATGTGGGGCCACCCATTAATGCAGTGGAAAACTTGCCACCAGTAGAAACGAAGTGGCCCAGCCGAATTCAAAATGATGGTGATTTCCTAAAGTCCTATATAGTCCAAATCCAGTACATCTTTGGGAGACCCTGCTCCTAGACTCTCCCTTCTCTCCTGAAATTTGCAGGAAAGGTGCACTGGAATCACAGTGAGAGTTACGAGGATGAAGATCTGATTTCTTCATAATGATGCCCCATTCTCAAGAAAGACCTGCTGCAGAACCACTGCTGCCTCTGACCAGGGATACAGAGCATGGCCATAATGACTGGTAACTAGTCCGGAGGGGTGGGGAAGCAAGCTCAAGCATAAGTTCTTAAAAGTTTCCATTTAAAAACCATTTTTAAAAAGACATATACAAAAAAAAAGTGCATCACAGTAAAATCACACTCGCACAATATTTTCCATAGCAAGACTTAATTTACCTGAAAGTTATCCTTCCTAGCTCTAGGAATTTCCTGTGGTGGCAGTTCAGGAACAAATTCATTCATCTTCTTCATATGTTCTTTCTGTTCTCTGCAGTCAAAAAATCATATTATTGATCTTAAATGTTCTTTTAAAAACCACAAAAAGTATATGCATTTGTCTTAAACAAGATTTTAAGAACCACCACGTTTACTTATGTTCATCTGTGGCACCAAGACTGTGGAACGCCCTCTCTAAGGAGGCCTGCCAGGCTGAGAAGCTAGTGAATTTTAAGCAACAAACTAAAAATTGGCTACTTTGTAAAACATTTAGACTAGTATTTCCAAAACTTTACACCCCAATCCACCTAGAGCACTTGAAAATTGCTGAGCATCTTGCTGGACCACTTAATTATTGTTCTGCCTATTATCACAATTGTAATGCACTGTGAAAGATAATGTATGCTTCTAAATTGGGTTCTTATTGTTTCTTTTGTTTCTTATATAATATTTTATTGTACTACAACTTGAATTTTATGGAACTGATCTGCCCTTAAATATTTTTCATCTCATTTTGATTGGCAGTTTGCAATTTTAGGATTTTGGCAGGTTTTTTCTGCTTCAGTTGATTCTTTTTAGCACATTTTGATTTGTTACTCTATTGTTTTAATATAGTACCGTTAGCCACTTTAGGCTGTCATTTGGCAAGCAGGAACAAATGTTTCCAACAAAATGTGCCACTTTTCTCAGTGCCAAAAATGAACATTTGATCCTTCACAGAGAGCATTTAGCTCCCAAGGTACATTTCTTTTTCACACCAGCTCAAATCTCATTGCAATTTCTGAGGATATCATTTTGGTCTTAAGAGAGAGAATTCAAACCTTTGTGATCAGAATTCTCACATATTCCAAAAGAACGTCTGCAGACCACTTTCCTAGTTCAATAAATAGCGAAACACACCACTGTTGACAACAGGAACTAGCAACAGAGATTTTTCAACATATTCTGCCTTGTACCGACTGGCAGCAGCTCTCCAGGGTTTCCCAGCCCTGCCCAGAGATGCCAGGGATTGAACCTGGGACCTCTGCATGCTCTAGCACTTGTTCCTGTCTCAGAGTTATAAATGTCACATCATATGCACTGCTTGAAAATCTAGATTTGATGTATCCATGGAGTGCAGTGTAATATGACTGCTTGGCAACTTTACACAAGAGTAACTTAAAACCAAGCACAACAAAATGTGAAGTGCCCTCCTTTAAGGCAATATTAGTGTGAGTGGACTTTGTACCGCTTCATGTGAACTGATAGACAATGCTGGACCTTTTGTTTTCATTGGCTCCCTTTTCTGAATTTCTTAAAAATACTGCAGGTCTGCATGAACAAGGTTCTCCTGCCTGAATATTTACTACTCAGTTTTAAGGATAAGCGTGATCACCGCCAGCTATGTTATTTGACTATGCTATGTGCAGAACTGTTCTTGATTCTATGGGAGATTCTTCAACATTAAAAAAACACCTATTTTAACTTCATTAGTTTAAGACTGATAAAAAGTGCTGTTTAAAGCATACTTATCTCAATGACCCTTGACTTATTAAACTTGCATACCCTTCCATCATCTAAGCTGATCAAAATGTTCACAGCTATTTACCACCTAATTATATGTATTTTTGCAATTTGCAAGAGGGAATGCAAGGCAGAGGGGAGATGAAAAAGCAGGTTTTTCCAAAGCTAAATAAACAAGAACAACAGCCAACTCACCGTAGCATTTTTAGCTCTTGGGCAGCCTTCAGGATTATTTCATGTTGCCTTTGACTAAGGACCATTACACCTCCCAATGACGGCTCAGAGGCTAAATTTGGCTCGTCTCCCAGCAATTCAGATGAGCGTGGTGGCAGAGGTGGTGGATCCAGACGATCATCTAAACGTGGGAATCTGTCGATTTCATCTGAATACCACCTATCCGAAAATCTTTCCCTTTCCCAATCGCCCCTGTCGGGTGGGAAATCAGATGGTTCCCTCCATGTGTCATGTCTCTCTGGATACTCTCGAATTCTGAGCTCCCCCCGGTCTCTGGAATCTCTGTCGTAGAAATCCCTCTCTCTCTCCTCCAGCCATCGCTCCTCCCGGTATCTGTCTAAAGGAGGAAGTGGAGGAAGGGGTGGCAAAGGTGGGAGAGGAGGTATGTCCAGATCACTAAGCGTATCTCTGTCGCCCAGTGGTCTAAGGTAATCTCTGTCCCAGTCTCTTTCTGAATCACGATCATACATATCCAAGGGTCTTCGGACCCTGTCCAGATCTCTGTCTAGCTCTCTCTCTCTCCCCAATGGCCTTTCCCAGTCATCCCAATATGGTTCTCGTCTATCAAGATCAGCAGATATTGGAGGTAAAGGAGGTAGAGGGGGAAGAGGTGAAAGAGGTGGCAATGGATGACGGTGTGCTGACAAGTCATCTCTCTCATACGGATCAAGAGGATCATCATGGTATCGCTGGTCGCGCTCAACCCAGTATCTGTCTCTTTCCCAATCCTCCAGTCGTCTGCGCTCTAGAGGAGGAATATCTTGGTATTCAAATGAGCGTTCCTCTTCCATGCCTGCCTCTCCGTAAGACCATGGAGGCCTGGGTGGTTCTTCACGAAATGGAGGCAAATTATCCATACCACCTCCAAGGCCTGTGTCACGTCTGTGCATATCCCTCTCCCGGCTACTAGGTCGCCGTCCTGGTCCCCTTTCACGGTTACTAGCCAGCCGGTCCAGTCCCCTTTCCTGACTACTGGGTTGCCTGCCTAAGCCCTTTTCCCGGCAATCTGCATGGCCTCTCTCTCTGCTGCCCATCTGGGGAGCTGGTTCCCTGTCTCTAGCTGGTAACCCTCTGTCTTGGCTTCTCGATTGCCTTTCCAATGCCCCTTCCTGGTTGCTCGACTGTCCACCCACCCCAGATTCCCAACTGCCTGACTGGCCCTCTGGCATCCTGTTGTGGGTTCCTGGCCCACTGTTTACATCTCTGCCACCTATATCTCTGGTCAGACCTCTACCTCTGTTTGGTACTCCCCTTCCTCTAGCATCATCAAATCGGCCTCGGCCCCTTCCTCTAGTGTCTTCCATTCTACCCTGGCCCCTGCCCCTGCCTGCTGGCCCTTTGGCCTGGTTATCTCCCAGCTTGATTTGTCCCCTCTCCCGGCTTTCCAGTTTAGTTGGCTCCTTGCTCTGATTATTTTCAGAAGAAGTCAGTTTGTTTTCTGCAGAATTCAACTCTTTATTTCCCATTGGCGCTGGTAGTAACATTTTCTTCCCCCCTGGAACAGTGGAACCTGGTGTCTGATGGAGAACACCCGAAGTAAGAGGTTTTTTTGATTCTTCCGTTTGCAGTTCAGTCTCTGCAGAGCTTGGTTTCTTTGTTTCTGACATTGTTTCTCTGCCCTCTTTTCTGGATGAATTTTGCTGTGCTTTAGACATGACTGTACCTGGCTGAACAGAACCAGTAACCTTTGTATCTGGTCTAGGTTTAGATTTATTTGCCACTGTCTGATTATTGCTCATATCAGTAAAAGATTCCTTATGTTCTGTCTGATGGTTCTGTTGTCCCAAAGGAGGCCTAGGTCCCCGCCACTGTGGTCCACTTGCTTGGGAAGCCTGCATTTGTGAAGTGCTTGAGGGAGTATAAAATGCTGCTGCTGGGCCCCGGGGGATTGTCCCCTGTTTGCCTGAAGATCCATCGACAAGCTGCTTTTGAAATCTTGGCCTTGGACCATCGAAACGTTGCCCTTGAAAATGAGGTCCTTGCTGTCTTGCAGGTTCAAATTTATCGAAGTCTCTTCCTCGTGGTGCATCAAATCTGTGCATTTAGAAATGAGACATTTTATTCAAGTAATAGATTTTGTGAGACTTTTTTATATAAAACAACTCCATAAATCCTCTTGGAAACAGCTGCCAAATTAAAATCTCATTAAGTAATAACGATACACAAAATTCACCAAAATATTAGATTTGCTGCATGAGAATGGAGCATGACAGAAACAAGTATTGGATTCACCCATATCTATGCTCATCTTCTCCATCTCTTCCTCAGATAGAAAGGAATGTCTGACTCAAGGGTTAGACTCAAGAACCATCTTATTTGGTTCATGGGGTGAAAGATGTAGACACATGCAGTATTCTACTGAGTCAGGTGTCTTCATCCTTTGGGAAAAGCAGATAGAGTTTGAGGCACAGGTATGTGTGAGCCTGGGATTTACTTCCTGTCTTCCCAATTATAAACTGAAGATGACAACTGAGATTACACTAGTGTTACAAACAATAACAATTTGCAATACAATATCTTCCTCTTATCTCTGTTTTGTGTGTGCAAACAAGACACCTGCAGAACAATCACTTTTGCTGCTTACAGGTGGGCACTGAAGATGATTTTACTTAGGAAGACTTTTGCTTTGTTAGGTAGCTGCTAGTTGTTGGTTTTTTGTTTTTTTAAAAAACTATATATAAACTGTTGCTAATTTTGTGTAAAGTGGGACATTACTAAATAGAGCAGCAGGAACAAAAGCACAAACTCTGCTTTTGGTTTGTTTTTTTGTGAGACCAGAATTATACATTTGGCAGCAGACCTGAGTGCCCTGTGAGCAGCAGCAGTTGAGTGACTGGGAGAGGGGGCTTAACTCTGGCCCCAATTCCCTTTTCACTGACAACCTTCCTCATGCTTTTCCCCAAGATGCATTTGAGGCATCATGGAGGAAAGTAATTGCCATACTGGGATGTGCATGGATTTACTTCTTCCTTCACCCTGCAGCCCACACCTGAGTACACTCTGCATGTAAGTTTTATTTTTAATTCTCCATTTCCCCTGAGTATATGGATGCCTCCATCTTGTTTGTGAGTGAAGCTGTTTTGACTACAAAGCTTCTGGCACTTAACCTCATTAGCATTATGAGGACTGGTACTACAGGCTCCCACAGATTTGGTTCAAGCATTGCCCCTCACCAAGAGAATTATCAAGTAAAGAACAGACAATTCTATTGGTTTCTAAGGACACTCATGGTGGCTAAATTCCTAATGCTTCAATATTGGAAGGAGGAGTCCACCTGCCACCCCTGTGCACCATAATCATGAACAGAGGACATGACAACAGGCAGCATATGAGAAGGTGACCTTCTGTAAACATAAGGAAGATGGGGAAGCCTCCTACTAAAGGTCTATTTACTTGAATATCTGGTCACTGGGTTTGTTCTGGACCACCAGCTGCTCCCCCTTTCCCTTTGGAACATTCAATTAAAAAGCTACTAACAACACACAAAATGAAGGGGAAAAAAAAAAGACCTGGCTTTGGGTATTTCAAGAAATACTCTGGAAGAACGTATGAGGTTAAAATATGGTAAAGCATAAGATTAAAATAGGCCAGGGATACCATTGGGCGGGCAACAACCACTAAATGAGCACAGTCACATGAAATAGCATGTCCTACTGGCAAAGCACACAGGATTACATAACAATATTTAAGAGTGTTTCTACTGTACTATCATCCAAAACAGCATTGCCACACAAAAATGAGACAGAAAGAAAACCTACCTTGACACCCTTGGACCTTCATGGTGCTGTCCCCTGGCAGAATCAGGAAACCCGGCTGACCTCCCTGGTCTGCTCTGATAGGTAGTAGTGGTGCTGGTGGTGGATGCAGATGAGGACACTGTAGAGTGAGGTTTTACTTCAGCAGAAGTTAGTTCTGATGAAACAGAACCAAATGGCATTGCCTGTTTGCCCAGAGGCGCATAAGAACTGCCTTGGTCTGAAGTGCTAGCAGATGATGTCACATTTGAGTGGTAATTCTGGGTGGCAGATGTATCAGTAGTTTTAAAAGAAAAGGAAGCAGGGGTGGGAAGAAGAGGTGGCCTGGTTGCATCCATTGTAGCGTGGGTCATGGCAGGAGAAACCGTAGCCTTAAATGAAAAGGAAGAAGCAGAAGGGGTGGGAAGCAGGCCTGGCCTGACAATATCCATGGCCGGGGTGACGACGGGTGTATCATTACCTTTGAACGGAAAAGCAGGGGTAGGAAGCAGAGGTGGCCTGCTTGCCTCCATGTTCTGGGAAGCGGCAGGAGACTCAGTTACTTTAAATGAAAAAGAAGCAGCGGTAGGGGTAGGAAGCAGACCTTGCTTGGCCATCTCCGTAGTCTGGGGAGTGGGAAGTGACTCTTTAAATGAGTAAGAGGCAGGAGAAGGAAATGGAGGTGGCCTGGTTGTCTCTGAGGCCTGTGAGGTGGTAGAAGACTCAGTTACTTTAAATGAAAAAGAAGCTGCAGAAGGAGTAGGAAGTAGACCTGGCCTGGGCATTTCTGTACTTTGGGTAGTGGGAAGTGACTCAGTAACTTTAAAAGAACCAGGAGTAGGGTACAAATTTGGCCTCGCTGTTTCAGTGCTCTGGGTGCTCTGAGGACCAGATTCTTTTGAAATAGGCATATCAGACTTTTGTGGGCCAGAAGAGAATCCAGTGGAAGGTGGAGGCAGTGCAGCTGAGGGCAAAGGAGGCTGCCCAACGGACATACCACTTTGTACTGTTTGAGAATATGCAGAAAAGGCAGGCGGCAAAGTTACACTCCCAGGATACTGACTGGTCATGTTCCGAAGAGACTTCACTTTCTCCTGAAGGTGGGTGTAAGTGACTTTCATCTGTCCCTGCCACATTTTCCACTGTTTCTCACACTCATGAAGTTGGTCTTTGTGAGGGTAGGCCTGGATTTGATCCTGCCACTGCTGAAATTCACGTTCCCACTCCTTGTAAAGTGGCTGGAACTGTTTGTTCTGTGTTTCATAATGCTGTAGCTGTGTATCCACTGACATTGTCTGCCAGAAAGAAAAAGTAGTAAGGAACACCCTTTAAGTTAGTTCAATGTACTCACAATGCTTTAGACACAAACATATCTTAATTGTCGCATAGCAAAGCATAGGTCTGTACACTGAACACTGTTCATGCTTTCCAACAGCTTCCATGAAATTGCTGTGCTTTAAAGGTGAAGTCATAGATTTGGGCCTTTGAACTTTATTTTTCTTTAATATCACAGATTCACCCCCTACCAAACTAAAATGATTCTACACTCTGACTCTAAATATATTGCATGATTAAACCTACTGAAAAAATGGAAATTCTTTCTACATAGTCTATTTAGATTAGTGAACATATTTTTTAGTTTTCTTCTCACAAGGAAGATGCTTCAATATACAGTATTACTTTTCTTCTTCTCGGTTCAATTTCTTGCCTACTCTTCATTGATTCACTATTACAGGGCAGGTTACAGCATAAAAAAAGACTGAAATGTTAGCTTCTTGTCTGCTTTTTCAGAAGTTAACATGTAGTCAATGAGCAAAGGTCCACATCAGAGTTGGGGAACTTTCTTCTCTAATGGTTCAGATCTGTATCTGCCTCACGGGTCAAAATTTGGCAGTTTGCCCATCAGTCATAATGATGTCAAGGTGATGATGCTCTTTGAAGGCGCACCCCCAGAGCAGCTTCAAAGACGCTTGCTCCAGCATCACAAATGAGTTTGCATTGAAACCCCTGCTTAAATGGAGATCCCTCCCTCCACTTCAGCAGGGGCTTCAGTGCAAGTCCTAGAGCAAGGCACAATCTAACCACTCACTGGTAGATCAGGATCGGCTGATGGGTGATTGAAGCAAGCCTTGCTCAAAGCAAAAGAATAATCGGGAGCTCACTTTACTCTCCCAGTTGTTCATTTGGAGCCACCTTGGTAACTGCTCCACACCTGAGGTGACATACAATGTGGTGGGACGGAAGGCTGCGCTTTACCAAGAACAGCTTGCTGGGCCAAACTGGGAGCTCTAACAGGCCAAAGCTGACCTGTGGACCACCATGAAGAGTCATGAAACTCTGTTAGCACCATTAAATTGTATTAAGTATCTCACTCAAGTGGGAAAAATATGGATCAAATCATATTACTTTAATGACTCACTGGCAAGTGTGACAACTGTATGATCTGTTGGTAGCGCTGTAGAATTTGTTGCAACTGTGCATGCTGCTGCATTATTCTCTGATACTGGAAACCCACTCGCTGCTGTGGATGCTGTTGCCATTGTGTGGCTGCCGCCTGTAGCTGCTGTAATCTCAAACTTTCCTCAGGATCCTCTGGTGGTTCAATGCTCAACTGGAGGAATAAGCAAATATCAAATAATAGAAAACTTGTTCAATCATACAGCACATCAGTTATACAGCTCTAATCATTGTCAGTACTGGGGAAAGTAGTTGTACATGCCCGAAAGCAAGCAAATACAGAGGGTTTTGTCCCATCCTCCCCTTCTTCAACAAGTTAAATAGTCCAGGCACAGCATAATGTAAGTGCATGCCTATGGTTGAAAGTATATCTGACCACAAGTCAGAGCAGGATTACCGTATTTTTCGCACCATAGGGCGCACCGGACCATAGGGCGACCCAGTTTTTAGGGGGGGAAATCAAGAAAAAAATCTTCCTCCCAGCCGCAAAGCGCAGCGAGAAGCCCTGCGCACAGCTCTCCCTGCACGGAGAGGCTGCACGCGGCTAAGGAGAAGCCAAGCCAGCGAGCGGGATCGATCCCGCCGCTGCCTTGGCTTGCTCCATAGCCCTGTGCAACCCCTCCTGGCCGGGAGAGGCTGCGTAGGGGCTTCCTAAGAGGTGGATTCCTCACTCAGCCCTAGTGCAGCCTCTCCTAGGGCTGCACGGCTTCTCCTGGCTTTCCTGGGAAGTAGAGGAATTCCCCCACCTCCCGCGAAACTGGCAGAAGCTGCGCACACTTTAAAAGGGCTGCACGGCTTCTCCTGGCTTTCCTGGGAGGTGGGGGGATTCCCTCACCTCTCGCAAAAGCCCGCAGAAGCCGCGCAACCCCTTTAAAGAGATCACGGCTTCTCCTGGCTTTTCTGGGAAGTGGGGGAATTCCCCCATCTCTCGCAAAACCGGCAGAAGCCGCGCGCACTTTAAAAGGGCTGCACGGCTTCTCCTGGCTTTCCTGGGAGGTGGGGGGGATTCCCTCACCTCTCCCAAAAGCCCGCAGAAGCCGCGCAACCCGTTTAAAGAGATCACGGCTTCTCCTGGCTTTCCTGGGAGGTGGGGAGATTCCCTCACCTCTCACAAAAGCCCGCAGAAGCCGCGCAACCCCTTTAAAGAGATCGCGACTTCTCCTGGCTTTTCTGGGAGGTGGGAGAAGGGACTGATGCGGCCAGTCAGTCCATTCTCCCTCCTGTGGAAAAGCCCGCAAGAGCGCATGGAGCTTGTGTGCGGCTCTTGGGGGCTTTTCCCGCCTGCCTCCCCCCCTGCATTCGCTCCATAGGACGCACAGACATTTTCCCTTGCTTTTTAGGAGGGAAAAAGTGCGTCCTATGGTGCGAAAAATACGGTATCCCAGTTCCTCCTTTTCAAATACAGATTTTTATTTTTATTTTTAGTGAGAATCTCCTACCAAAAAACAAAACAAAAAACAAACAAAACAAAACAAAAAAACACACAACACTACTTCCCAAGAGCACTACTTTTGGTTGCCAGAACACATAAAAACTAAACAGGTATTTTACAACTATCAGAATTTATTGCACTATCATATCTCTAGATATGCTAGTGAAATAAATTCTGATAGTTGCCCTATTCCATGATCTGTTGTGTAAGATACTGGATGATATACAACTAAGGACTCAGCTATACACTTACAAATAAAACGTTTTAAGTGTGTTTCAAGTGCAATATACAATGTGACACTATATGACGATGGTGAGCCTTATGGAGAATTCAATGTATTTTTTAAAACACTTTTTTTAAAAAAAGCATTTTCAGAACAGTTTTTATATGTGTATAGATGCTACCTAAGTCATATTCAGAGTAGACCCACTGAAATACCGTATTTTTCGCCCTATAGGACGCACCGGCCCATAGGACGCACCTAGTTTTTTGGGGGGAAATCAAGGGAAAAAAATTTATTCCCCCCCCCGGTTTGCGCAGCCATCCCCAAGCTAGAAGAGGGAGACGGAGCGCTCCGTCTCCCTCTTCTGCCTTCAGGGACAGCCTCTCTAGCCTCCGTGGGGCAGCGGCTTGCCCTGCTGTCCCCGGAGCTTGTTGGGCTGGCGATAGGGAGAAGCAAGCTTGCCTCTCCCCACCTCCAGCCTCCAGACCAGGTCGGGGAATAGAGGGATGGCGGCGCTCCGCCTCCCCGCTCTCCCCCGAGCTTGTGGAGCTGGCAATGGGGAGAAGCAAGCTCCCCACCCTCCCCACCCCTCCAAACTGTCGGAAATCAAGCCTTTATCGGGAGAAACTGGCAACTCTCCCAGGCACCCGGCTTGGTCTCCTGTTGACCTCCCTGGCTGCATTCCCCAGCAGGATCCAGGCTAGGTCACGATAGGCGATTCTCCCCAAACGTGGGAAGAACACACCCCCTCCCTCCTGCTCCCCCGGCAGGGAAAAGGAGATAGACAGAAACATATTTACATGCTTTTATTTCTGTCTTTGCCGCATTACAGAAAACATGACTGCTCTCTCCAAACTCCAGCAGTCGAGTGACAAAAACTTCCTGTACTTCCTGTACAAGAGCAAGAGGAAGAGCTCAAATTACACTCTGAGCTAATTCCGGTGCATTGCCCTGTGAGTTGACTGTCCCTCTGTTTCCCACGGAACAGTCCCAACATTCCATCATGTGATGTTTTCAAGCTAGCAGTTTGCAGCTGCATTGCTTCTATATCATAACACAAACTAGGTCGGGGGAATAGCAGGGTGGCGGCGCTCCGCCTCCCCGCTGTCCCCCAAGCTTGTGGGGCTGGCGATGGGGAGAAGCAAGCTTGCTTCTCCCCACCCCCAGCCTCCAAACCAGGTTGGGGAATAGCGGGGTGGCGGTGCTCTGCCTCCACGCTCTCCCCCGAGCTTGTGGGGCTGCCCGATATCTGCACCAATCGGGATGCAGGCTGCTATCCGCAAGCCTGGAGAGCCCGCGGGGCTCCCCAGGCTTGCAGATAGCTTCCTGAAGCCTGGAGAGCGAGAGGGGTCCGTACGCACCGACCCCTCTTGCTCTCCAGGCTTCAGCGAAAGCCTGCATTCGCCCCATAGGACGCACACACATTTCCCCTTCATTTTTGGAGGGGAAAAAGTGCATCCTATAGGGCGAAAAATACGGTAAGTAAATTAGTTACTTAAGTCTACTGATTGCAAACCATAAATCCTCACTCACAGGAGAGTGGCCTCCACAAGACACCAGGGCATCACATATAACCCAGAATAATTGTAATTAGATTACAATGGTAAATAGCCGAAACATAACTCTGTCCAATAAATCTATGCATAGCATATTAACAAAACTTTAATTGTTTAGCTTAAATAAGGACTTATTGCCAGATACAAACTTAGGTAAGTACAAGCTGTTGGTAATCTGAGATATTAAGACACATCCACAATGCTTTTATATTTGTTGGAAGCCACCCAAAGTGGCTGGGGGCAACCTAGTCAGAAGGGTGGGTTACACATAAAAAATATATATATATTATTATTATCTAGGTTGTGCTCACAGTAAAAGTTACTACACAGAAGCAGAGCCAGTAAGGTCCAGATCTTTTACTGTTGCAGACTGAGCAAACAGAAAAATAACTTCCAGTTTGCAGGCTTTTCATATACAGATACAGAGTGTCCCTGTTGCTCTAATTCCAAGGCTTCAACTGCAATAGTAACATCAACACAAAACTAGCTAGCATACGTTAATCACATCAATATAGCTAGAGTTCCAAGGCCATTACCACAGCAACTGGCTCATTTGACCTTACACCTCAAACATCAGGTGATTTATGCCCATGATGGAAATTCCTTCCTTCCTATGCCCAGCTACTCCAACACAAACCTATACCAGTTAGCATAAGAATTTCATGCACTGCAAGGACTCACTTAACTCAGACATCCTCAGTTAAACTAATAGGTGGTAGGCAAATTCTGATTCCAAGGAAGATGGCAAAAATCCTGACTGAATAATCTTAACACCGTATGGACACCAACAGTTGGCTCCAAGCTAAGGTTGTAATCCTATACACATTTGCCTAGAAATAAGACCCACTGAAAACTAGCTAATAAGTAGATCTGTTTAGCTTTATGCTGTTAAGTTTGTTGAACTTTAGTTGAAGTACAGTCCCATTGATTTTCGTGTAATCAAAGTATTGTCTAAGTACAGCTAAATTAGTCTGGACCCCTGACTATTAAGTCCAGTCACAGACGACTCTGGGGTTGTGGCGCTCATCTCGCTTTACAGGCCAAAGAAGCTGGCGTTTGTCCGCAGACAGTTTTTCTGGGTCATGTGGCCAGCATGACTAAGCCGCTTCTGGTGCAATGAAACACCGAAACCAGAGCAGCGGAAACACAGTTTGCCTTCCCGCTGTAGTGGTACCTATTTATCTACTTGAACTTTTTGGCATGCTTTCGAACTGCTAGGTTGACAGGAGCTGGGACTGAGCAACGGGAGCTCACCCCGTCGCGGGGATTTGAACCGCTGACCTTCTGATCGGCAAGCCCAAGAGGCTCAGTGGTTTAGACCACAGCGCCACCCGCGTCCTGCCTTGTGGCTATAAAATGAGATAAAAGTGTTCCAAAAAAAGAACAAACAGATGCTGGACCAAGACTTTAGGATTACTGGGTATATTTAATTCTTCCAGAGTAGTCAAATTATCACTTTAGAACCATACTACTTTTAATGATGGCTGATGAACTAATTAATTGGTGATGTGCCCAGGAATTTATTTGCCTAACACTTGCCCTTGTAAGTAGTACATCATTTTAAGTCTTAGCAATTAAATCCAATCACCAGAAATAACAACTCACTCTTGTCAGAAACTGTAGGAGAAATCCTACATACACTGAATGTTTCAAACCAAGAGAAGAGATGTATTGTATCTTCGTATTATTTTATGGTATTTTATGCTTTATTGTATTTGCACATTATGTTGTATACTTCCTTCCTATTTTAAAATAAAAATACAGAAATATAACTGGCCTATCACAACATATGAAATCCATAGAATGGTCAGAATAGAATGTAAAGGAGGTGTTGGTGCTTTGTGTGTCAGTGGGATACAGAATCCAAAATTGAGAAATAGAAAAACAAACTTATGGGTAGAGAACAGCACACCAAAAGAGTAAGTAAAATATAAGGAACACACTTAATATTAAACCATAGTTTAAAGTGAACTATGGTTTAGCACAATGTGTATGCTGTTTAAAAGTCCACACCACAGCTCCCCAGCTCACAGCTTTATTGCCCCAGGGAGGAAACAAACCAGAAGCTGGCTTTGCATTATGTATAAACCTACTCTCATGGTTTGTTTATCTCCAGACAAATTATGAGTGCTGGTTCACATGCCAGTCTCTGCTTTGTTTCCCCCTTGGCACACCGGTCAAAAGTGGGGGATCAGCATAGTGAGGACTTCTGAGCAGCATGCAACAGAATTTATTTTTAACATTACATGCAAACTGGGCTAATATCACTCCCCTATCCCAAACTTTGATGGTGATCTTTAAATGCAAAAGGTACTTAGGTAGGCAATTGAAACAGAAGATGAAATCATAGTGGGTTACTTCAACCACCCCTAAACTGGCTGGGTAACAGGTCATGGCAGAGTCAAAATTTCTAGATAGAAAGAGTTTGGATCCTAATTGCCTGGGACTGGCAGAAGATTGTAGAACTGCTTGAAACACTGATCAAATCTCTGTCAAACTCAACATTCAAAAGATCAGAAAACTGCCAACAAACTCAACACAGTCATACTTAATTTACAACAAAAAGATCTGCAAAAACAAAGAGGATTCCTATTAAACTGAAGAGAGAACAAACTCTGGCAAACTGAATGCAAATCAACAATAAAACAAGCAAAAATCAACAACCTGAGAGACACACTGAAGTTATTAAAATAAATATTAAACAAAACTAAGACTCACAACAGAATGTTACAATGTGGAGTGCTCAGTCTCTAAACTGTTCCCTCCTCCTTCAGGGACACTCCATTCTTCCCCTTTTCAGATATTTGTTTAAACCTAACAGATGCCCCTCAACATTCTGCAATCACTGAACATGCTCAGTCTTCACTGGGCTGTTTTTGGGAAAGTTCCCACCCATCTATGCTCTTTTTCCTAAAGTTTTTTTCTACCTCTGTAATCTTTGGATACCTTTGAGCATGAAAATACCTCCATCTTAGTTTTCAGCTGTCCCATTTCGACTACAGTCCTCTCAGCACTCACCAACTGAGATTATGATATGATCAGAACACACTGTACAGAGAAAACCAACTAGTGGAGGTAGCAGAAACTTTTAAGATAAAGGTGTAAAAAGAATACTGAAGGACTATAGCAAAACTGCAAAAATTATTCTTTCTATCGGTTAAAATTGTTGGTCAGTTAATTAAATATGTAATAGTATTAAAGTCAACCTTCTTATCTAAAATGCGCTTTGATATAAAGAGGGCACCCAGGTAGTTACAGACCTGCCAGCCCAATTTCAGTTCCATATAAAACATAAAAAGAAGAAGTCTTACTAAAAGAGGATAAGTATTGCTTCAACAAAGGGAAATATTAACTTTCTACATTTCTTTTGAAGATACATATTACATATGACCAAAAGGTTTTTGGCTAAGTCATTTAGTCAATGTATAAGTGGAGAGACTCTTACAGATTAGGATAAAAAATAAGGAAGACGAGGACGTAGTGATAAAATGGGCAGGAAAGGACATAGGAAGTTGCTTTATACCAAGTCAGAACACTGGTCTATCTACCTCAGTACTGTCTACACTGAATGACAGTAACCCCTCTAGACAGGAGTGTTTCTCAGTCCTATCTAAAGATTGAACATGCAACCACTTGCTAGCAAAACATGTGCTCTACTACGGAGTCACCATTTACACAACAGAGGGACAATGGATCCCACAGAGATCTTTATAGGGGCTTGCTGGGTTATATTATTAATAATTCATCTGCAATACGATTGAACAGTGTGGCAGTTACGTCTGTAGATGACACCTAATTAGTTAGGATGGTAAAATCCCAGGCAGCTGTGAAAAGCTTTAAAAAGAATTTATCCAAAATGGAAAATAAGGATTAAAATACAAGTACCTAAGATTCCATGTAAGCGAAATGGGATGCGTATGATTTCAAAAAACTCTAACCTTATATGCATGCTAGTGGCACCCGATCTGGCTGCAACTACTCAGGAAATAGAGACAATCACTGGCTGAGATGACTTTATTAAAGGAGTGGACTAATTACTGGAGAACAAACTTATGAAAGTGAGGTATCTTGACAAGTAAACAGTATCCATGATACAGAGTCAGTCAGTCTCTCTCTCTCTCTGTATGAGATGCTGCCAGGCAGGGTGGGGAGGAAATACAAGGTGCCTATCACCAGCATTGTCTGATCCACAGTGGATAAATAATACTAGACTTATCTCTGTGAATTATGGTTTGCTCCAGCATGGCAACCCTTATGGTCTTAAAGCTTGATCCTAATATGGAGATGTTATTGTTTTACAGTGTTGGAAATATGTAATGCAACGTCTTCCTGAACGCAAAGTCAAGACAGAAGCACAAATAATTATACCGTGTTATCGTTTGGTACCTTCAAGTCATGAAGATACCCAAAGGAAGCTTTGAATAGAAGTACCTTCTTTGAGACTTTCCACTCCACATACAGACATCCCCCAATGCACACAGCATTTCCACACGATGATTAAACTCCACATGACATAACGCTAAACATTCTGAACTGGACATCAAAACGGCCAGCCATTTACTAGCAAAACATGTGCTCTACTACAGGGTCACCATTTACAGAACAGAGGGACAATGGATTCCACAGAGATCTTTATAGGGACTTGAAGTTCATTTCTGATTCGTTTACATTTATCTCCTCAACCTATGCTGAAGATGCAAGGAAGATTTATACACTTGCTATGAAATGTATTTTAAAAAAACTTCAATACTTTTTAAAGAAAAGCACATAAACCCAATGATTGTTGTCTTTAAGGCTTGTATCAGGGTCATGTAAACCACAACTGATCAGCAAAAGTTCTCATAAATCATCCCTGTGTTCTAAGCCTACTGCACCAGGGCCCTATTTTTTTCAACCAGTCCTTCCAGACAATCTGAAATGACAAAAGAATGAACACAACACATAATGACACCTCTGTGCACAGCATACCTTGGGCTCAACAGATGACAAAGGAAGGTCATCACCTTTGGGCTGCGGTAATTTGGGCTCAGAAAGCAAAGGGGGGTCAGAAAGCACATCAGAAATGGGTATTTCCCTTTCTTCTTGCCTCTGCTCAGGAGCATCATTTACCACTCCTAGACCTGATGGCAGCTGCTGTCCCAGTGCATGTGCTTTTGCCTTTTGCTGCAGAGTAAGCAGATGCTGTTGGTACCAAAATTGCTGCTGTTCCTATAACAAAAAAAGATGAGAAGTACAGTAGTATCTAGGCTTAAGAGACAAGGTCATATCCTAGAAAGAAAGCTACATTAACCACTGAAAAATGGCAAATGTGCCTCATTTTCAAAGGATACTTGGACCTACTTTTGAAAAAACCAAGAGTAGCATCCAACACTGCAGTCTCATTTGTTCAGCAGACTTCTGAATGCACAATGTAAGTTATCCTCCTTCTTCTGCCACACTAGCAAGCCCCTGTGTGGCCTCAAAGTCTGTTTGAGAGAATTGGAGAACCCTCTGAAACAAATTTTGGGGGTACACAGAAGGAAGGGGAGGTCCCATTCCACAAGAGGAAATTTTCTGGCACAGAACTGGATACGACCCCAGGTTGCTACAACTATTCCTTTGGAGTAAGGATCAAAAGGCACAATGAAAATATAGGCCTTTAATAGGAGTTTTAATTATGGAATGGTTTTGTAATTGGTGGCCTTTAATCTGTCAATAATCATAACATTTTTATCATTTTTGCTTAAACATCAAGTGTCCATGTTTCCTTTATTTTACTTCCTTTCATTATGATGGATTCTCTTTTTCAATCTGGCCTAAGGTAAAGTATTGTCAGAAGGGCAGGGCAAGAAAGTTTCAAATAAATTCATATATAAATAACAGAAAAATGGGGTTTATAGTTTTAAAATTACTTTAGTACTGTGATTTATACTGTTTTATGTACATTGTTTCAGAATAAATCTTAAAGTGGAACATCAGATAAAACAATTCAGAATAAAACAAATTCAAGATTTAAAGAAAACATTCCAGATCCTTCAAGTGACATTTTGATTTCCCCAGTCACCAATCTAGTATCCAGCAATCTCCATGTGGTTGCAAATGGACCTGTAACAGTCGCAAAATGCGCTTGGCTAATTTCTAACATTCTCAGAAGCGGGCTGGTCTGGCCCATGGTGACCCTCCTAAGCACGCTTTGCACAAGTGGGGGCATTAATACATACACCCCTGTTGTCCCATACATGCAAGAAGCTCAGCAAGAACCCAACACCAAATTTTTAAGCATTACAATGACCTGTACAAACCAATGATATCAGACTTGTTACAATGTGCTTATATGCATGCTTAAACAAAGAACATGTTTTACCCAAGATTCTACAGTAAAAAACACCATCGTGCAGGTTACACTTTTATTCTGCTTCAGATTAACCCTTTTGTCTGCCCTGGGTCTGTTGTAGCCCAATTTTTCTTCAGCATCTGTTGGTGCTAAAGGCACCAACTGTATTTGTTTTCTTTCAAAATATGCATAAACACAGGGAGAATACCGGCATTTTAGAACATGTTGGATGTCGAAATGCTGCTTAGATGTATGCTAAAATATGGATAAATGCATACAACCATGGTTGGCTTTGTCTTAATCTGTAGTTGCTTTGTAGCTTCACTCCAATTACTGTACTCTGTAGCTACAAAGACCCATCTCTAAATACTTTGCTGTAATACTAATTTTTCACCATTTCCTGATTCTTTGCTTAAAGGAAGGTGATGTTTAAATAAATTCTACAAACATTTAAAAATTGTATTTACGATAAGTGTTTCAAAGAGATCAATAAAACATTTTTCTCTTTCTTTGGAGCTATTCTCATTCTCTTGTGGGGAGGATTCAGGTCTTCAAAAAAAAAGCCTGCAGAAATTTTGCTTTCTTAAGTTTTGAAAGCAAAATTATATAGAGAGAATCCTCTGTTGATACCTCTGAAGTCATCAGTCATTATAGATTGGCCATTTCTGTTTTCTGGATAATTTTTTAAAACTGTGATGATTGTGATGTGTGCACATGTCCACATGCACTCATTTCTAATAACATTTATTTTTCTGTGAAACTGATTAACATGAAAAACCCCTTTATTCATTTTTCATAGTAGACTACAGAACACATAGAATATGATTGGGTCACATAGATATATGGTCTCCCTATCAGGATTACTTACACCATATAAAGTTTACACTGTAAACATCTGGGCAACTACTGATTGCAGAAAAATTAAAGATGTGCCAGTACAGCCAATACTGCATATATCTAATTTCCCTTTTCCTCAAAATTCTGTTTTCTGCCTGAGCAACCAGAACAGCCCCAATCCCCTGTGAGTTTTTTATGAGAAAGTCTCACTGAGATCAATGGGGCATACAATACAATCCTTACCCCCAGATACAGAAGTTAGGAAGTGGTATATCTTCCCAAATTAAACCAGAAGAAGCTATGTCAGTGTAAAAGACAAAGGGGGGTGGTGAATGGGTATGTTGAAAGCAAGGAGAGAGATAACAAAATTGCACTGCATCCTAACACTGTCTATCCATTGGTCCCACTCCCACCCACAGAACTTGACATAATTTACATCACCCAACATGCAGGTATAATAACTAAATTCACCCCAGGAGACAATGGAAGGGCAGAAAGTGCAGGTTTAGACTGCTACCCCTCCTTCTACCAGAAGCAGTAAGAATACAGCTGATCCGCTGACTAATTATTAGTAAGATTTGACCTCCTAATAGCTTAAGAAATGATTTTATCAATATGATAAAATGATATGAGTGGCTGGGGAAACCCAGCCAGATGGGCGGGGTATAAATAATGAATAATAATAAATTATTTTGATGACCCAACTAACAGGTCAGTAATCTACCCCTATCACTTGGTATAGAAATCTTACAATTAAAGATCTGAAAACTGGCATGAGAACTGGCTCACAAAATCTTAAACAAATACAAATGAAAATGTACTGTACAATGTAACACAAAAGTTAGGACATATCCCTTTTTCTCACTGCCTTACACATAACTGAGCTTAAACAAATTGCATAGAAGGAGAAAGAAGAATCTGAGCATGCACCCTTCTGAATCCCTGCTCCAACCTCACACAGGATACTAGCGTCAATGAAGTATACATTTTTCATTCTTTCCATCTTAGAAATTTTAAACCGTTACATGAAGAAATTACAGATCTGCTCTTTTCCACTTCTCATATACTCTCATGTATTTTTCACAGGAATTGTAAAATTAATGTTAGAACATCATGGGGTGGCAAGTCTGCCTGGATACGTGTGCCTAAGTGCTAATTCCCTTTTGTACAGTTATGAACAAAGCACCACAATAATTATTAATAGTAGCTATATATGCATGGAACAAGAATACAACAGAGTTCAGAGAATAGTAGAAAACACACAAGCAAATAGCACATGTGTTATTTTCCCCTCCAGCATTCTCTCTTATAGTAAAGTATGCACTGCAATTGCATGGCATACCACTGACAGCAATCCTATGACTATTTATCAGGTTGAATTACCTTTTCTGAAGGTAACTAAAAAGGAAAATAAAATCACTGCTGTTATTCCCTCATCAATTGTGAGTGACTGAAATGGACATGGGGCCCCAGGGAGTGAAATGCTTACATCACAATCTAAGGTAATTCCATACCAGCTCCTTTCAAATGCCACGAAAATCATAGATAGAAACAAACAAACTATGGCTTGCTGTGAATGAGCAACATGTTTACATCATACCTGCTCTGCTCCTAAAGGAGGAAATGAATCTTATTTCAAATCAAAAAAGGAAAGGAACAACAGCACAAGCCTTCTCAGAAGCTCACTCGTAGTCCCCAACACATGGGACTGCCTGTGATTTTCAGAGTTGAAAAGCATTCCGCTTAACTCCGAGGCACTGTTTCTTACAAAGAAAAACCCAATGTTCTAGGCCTGAGACTTCTTAGCTTCTATTAAGCCCCCCAAAAATCCACTCCTGTTTTGAAACAAAAAATAAAGGTGCGTTAAAGCCAATTTATTTGTTACTGTTTTCTAAAATGAAAGCACTTCCTTCAAAGAAAAGATATGAACTTATGCATGCTTGTCCAGGCAGACTTAGCGCCCACATGGCGCTAACCTGTGAGTTTTCACATTTCCTAAACAAAGAAGTCCTTTTTTTGTTTGGGAAAAGCATAATTTATCAAGCAGCCCCAATGTGTCAGTAGAAAAGAAATAACTCAGCAAATAAATAATAGTAGGAATGCCAGCAGCTCCTCCCCACTCATCAGATGGCCATTCTCATCAGGGCATTGGATTGGGCAGTTTAAAATCCCTCCTCTCTTTTCATCCAGGATTGTGTGCACTTTTTAACCACCATCAAAACTGGTGAGGTCTCTCTCATGGGTCTAGTCAAGACTAGGTTCCTGGGTAGGAGGTCAGTCATCTTTGCTTTAGACCCTATGGCCTAATTTTAACCAAGATGCCTCCTATTTAAATGAGAATCTGCTATTCCATCTCATCAATTTTATCTTACTCCAACTCCCACCTATGCACATCTCACCCCTGGGTCCTATCGAGCTATTCAAAATACGACGGACACATCAATCTTACCTGGGCGGTCATTGTGGAGGGGTCTGCGTGCAGGGAGGCTTGCTGTCGCTCACACCTAATATCTATGTCTGGACCACTGCCCTGTCTTAACTCCTGAGGTTCAAGAGCAGGCTGAGGAATCTGGGATGGGGCGAAGCGCGAGTCGGATGGAGTAACGGGCTGGCCCGGTTGGCAAGCTGAGGTCTGGGGCGTGGGTGGGTAAGCCTGGGACTGGTAAGGCTGAGAAACGGCTGGAGGAGGGTGTTCCGAAAAGGTGCGTGGAGCTGCCTTCGGCAACTTCGAATGGGGCTTGTAGGGCTGCGACGAGGAGTTCTGTGGCGGCAGAGCCTGAGACATGTAAGGGTCCGTCTCAAGGGAGGGTCCTGGGGGCATGTACGGCTGGGCAGGTGACTGTGGCGGAGAGGCCAGGTCCATGTCCATATCCATGCGAGGGCTGGCCGCGGGGCCATGGGGCTTCCACTCATCCCGAGGCGGCTCCTTGACATCCTCTCCGAGAGCCAGAGGAGGCCTCTGGGCATTGTGGAGCAGCGCGTCCCGCGGGAGAGGCGGCGGCGAGGGCTCGCGGTGCTTGAACGGCTTCGGATAGCTGCGCGCCGAGGGCGGCCCTTGGGGCAGCGGCGGCTGCCAGGAAGCGGCGGGGGGAGCAGGAGCGGCGCTGGGCAGCGGCGGCGGCGGCAGGCTCGGGGGAGGCCCGCCGGGTGGCGGGGGAGGCCCGCCTAACAACACCGACTGCAGCTGCTTCTGGTGCATTTGCTGGAGCTGCTGCAGCTGGACCAGGTGCTGCTCCTGCAGGCTCAGGAAGCCCGACGTGCCGGCGGCGGCCGTCGCGGCGCCAGGAGCCGCCGACGAAGCCGCGTAGCTGCCCAGAGCCGGCGGCGGCATGGCGCTAGGCAGCACCGCCGGAGGAGGCCCGGCCATTGGCGGCGGAGGCATCATGGTGGGCGGGGGAGGGTAAGCCCCAGGGGCCGCCCCGTACAAACCCCACGCCGGGAACATGGAGCCGGGAAGCGGTTCTCAGGAGGCGGCAGCGGCGGCGGCGGCGGCGCCTAAACACAGGCCGCGAAAGCGGCGGGTGGCGACGGGGGCGCGTGCGGTCCACTGCGCCTGCGTGGATAGCCGGAGTCATAGAGAGCGACTTCCTCAAGATAGAGTGTTTCCGGTCCGGCCCCAGGCAACGGACTCCACGGAGCAACAAACTGGGCGCTCCCCGCCAGAACGCCTTGGCCAAGGCAGGGCTATGTCGCCTGGAACAAGAGGGAGCCTGTAGCCTCGTCGCAGAACTCCAGTTTTTATGCTAACGTCCATCAAATACAGTGGTACCTCAGGTTACATACGCTTCAGGTTACAGACTCCGCTAACCCAGAAATAGTGCTTCAGGTTAAGAACTTTGCTTCAGGATGAGAACAGAAACTGTGCTCCGGCGGCGCGGCAGCAGCAGCAGCAGGAGGCCCCATTAGCTAAAGTGGTGCTTCAGCTTATGAACAGTTTCAGGTTAAGTATGGACCTCCGGAACGAATTAAGTACTTAACCTGAGGTACCACTGTATGCCCCTCCCGTTCCATACCGGGTTTTTGTTGGTATTATTTCATTATTTGGAAATAGAAGTGATGCCAACCTTGTGGAACTTGTTCAGCATTCTGTTCTGGAAGTGGGCAACTAGATGCTTCTGAGAAGCCCACATGTAGGACCAGAGCAAGATGGATACTGCATTAGTTTGGCAGCTGAAAAAAACGAAAACATTACCATCCTTCCAACTCACATTGGCCACTAACCTTTTGGGATTAGTGGGCACACTTCAGGTGCTGAGGGAGTTCTGAGGTTGGCATTTCCCTAAAATCATAGAATTGTAGAGTTGGAAGGGACCCCCAAGGGTTCTCCAGTTCAACCCCCTGCAGTGCAGGAATGGCAGCTAAAGCATCCATGACAGATGGCCATCCTACCTCTGCTTAAAAACCTCCAGGGAAGGAGAGCCCACAACCTCACGAGGGAGATCGTTCCACTGTCAAACAGCTCTCACTGTCAGAAAATTCTTCCTGGTGTTTAGTTGGAATTTCCTTTCTTGTAACTTGAAGCCATTGGTTCGAGTCCTACCCTCCAGACCAGGAGAAAACAAACTTGTTCACTCTTCCATGTGACCCTTTAGATATTTGAAGATGGCTATCATAGCTCCCTCTCAGTCTCCTCACCCATCTCCTTTCAACTGATCCTCATAAGGCTTGGTTTCCAGACCATTGATCGTCTTGGTTGCCCTTTTTTCAACTGCAATATCCTTTTTGAGATGAGGTGACCAGAACTTTACACAATATTCCAAATGTGGTTACACCAAAGATTTCTATAATCACAGTTTTATCTTCAATTCCTTTCCTAATGATCCCTAGAATGGAATTTACCTTTTTCACGGCCACCACACACTAGGTCAACAACTTCATCAAGCTATCTGGTCTGTCACCTCTAGTTCATCAAGCTATCTGGTCTGTCACCCCTAATATGCATCACTTTACCCTTATTTACATTGAAAGGTGCTTGCCCTTCTAACGCCCATTCGCTCGGTTTGGAGAGGTCATTTTGGAGCTCTTTTCAATCTCTTCTTGTTTTAATGACCTTGAACAATTTAGTATCATCAGCAGATTTGGCCACCTCACTGTTCAGTTCTAAATGAACAAGTTAAAAAACACTGGTCCCAATACCAATCTCAGGGGAAATCCACTTTCTACCTCTCTCTATTCAGAGAACTGTCCATTTATTCTGACTTTTTGCTTCCTGTGACTCAACTAATTCCTGATCCACAAGAGGATAGTCTTATGACTGACTGCTAAACTTACTCAGGAGTGTTTGGCAAATTCCCATATTTCTGCATAACCCCACCAAAAGTAACCTTCCCAACTTTTTGTCATGAGAAACCCCAACTGAAATATTTGCAACTTGAGAAAGGACTCAGATAAAAAAAAGAGAAATTCTCAAAAGCCAATTTCTAAACAATAATATTTATTCTGGAACACACAGCAAGGGTACAGTTCACATGATTTTTCTCGAAGAGACAAGTTTGAAAAAATCAGTTCAGCTTCAAACACTGCAGGAAATAAATTAGAAACAGGAACCTTGTAACAGGCCCAATGTTGTAAAAATTGGCAGTTGGACCCAGCAGACATATCTTGGATGCTTTTCAACAGGTGGTTAAAATCGGGGGGCTCCATAGTCATCAGGCATCCGCTCAATGTTATATCTAGAATGAATGAAGCATTATGGTAAGTAGTCTATCATAAACCCACCATGGAATGCAGTGAAAACACAGTAAGGGCGCCACTGTATTTGCTGGCATTATTTGATTGCATTTGATTAAGTGAGCTCGAATCCATAAAACCCTTTGCTATAGTGATCTGAAGGCCCACAAAGCAACCATCTTTCTGAAGCTAAGCAGGCATGGGTCTGGTCACCACCTGGAAATCTCTTGTATGCCACTTTCTACTTTGATGGGAAGAGAGCAAACAATAAACAAGGACATGAGAACGGCAAGCTTTTGGAGCCAGGGACCAGTCTTCTTGTTTTTTATTAGTCTATAAAGAACTATATAAATAATGATGTATTAACTTTTATTTGACATAGCCCTTGTTATTACTTATATAGCATCACTAATGAGTAGTTCTTTAAAGACTAATAAAAAGCAAGAAGACAGGCTTTGTTCCAAGGTGCTTGCAAATCTTGATTTAACAGGAACATAGGAGGCTGTCTCAAACTAAATTAGACCATTGGGTCCATTTTAGCTCGTTATCATCAATGATGACTGGCAGCAGCTCTCCAGAGTTTTGGGCAAGAGTTTTTCCTAGCCCTACATTAAGACACCAGGAATTGAACATGGGACCCTTTGCTGCAAAGGCAAAGGCAAAGGCAAAGGCAAAGGCAAAGGCAAAGCAAGGCAAAGCAAAGCAAAGCAAAGCAAAGCAAAGCAAAGCAAAGCAAAGCAAAGCAAAGCAAAACATGTGCTCTACCAATGAACTACAGTGGATAACAGAGTTACGGGCAGAAGGGAGTGGTAACATCAAACATGTATGGGTATAAATAAATGCAGTTACATATACAGGCAACTCCCCACTTACACAGGGGTTACGTTCCAGCCCTTGCACACATAAGTGAAATGCATGTAAGTGGGGAACACCCTGAACTGTCCTTGTGGCTAGTGAGGAGACTCCAGAGCTTGAAGAGAATGTCCTGTAAGGGTCTCCTTTTTGAGGCTGCTCAGCCTCCCCTCAGAACAGCTGATGTGCAGGGTAGTGCAGCAGCAGCAGCAGCAGCAACTTTCCCCCATGTCAGCTGTTAAGCGGGGGAGCCGAGCAGCCTCAACAAAGCCCCACTGCGCCTCCGGCTCATGAGAAGACCCTCCATGGACATCCTACTCAGGTTCTGGGAAGGGTCTTCTCAGGAGCCACGTACTTCCAGCCACTTCCAGACACACTGCGCTGTGTCTGTGCGCAGTAGCATACGAAAGAGAAACTGCCTGTACTTAGACTTTCTTTTAGTTTGAGCAGCAGGATATGAACACAATAGCATTCTCGCACTCATGTTGTGGTTTTCTTATTACTATTAAGCCCTTCCTTTATATAGGTAGACTATCTATAAAACGACAGGCAACGTTTCAAAATACACTATAACAAAGTAAACTGCAATTTAATTTGTCAGAATATTACTCTCAAGTGGGAGCTCACCTACCTGTGGTTTGATATATACATTATTGGGACTCCTGGGATCTTCCGTATTCTCCGCTTGAGGTCTCTGTCTACAGTAGCCACTATGTAACACTTGTGCTGCAAGAAAAGAGGATAATCTCGCTGTCTTTCCTTTGGCCACGGAGTGCCAGAGGATACAAATTTCCAGAGGGAACAAGTTTTTAGACAAACATCAAATCTCCCTCCCTTAAAATACAGTATCTCCAAGAACATGTCCTGAAGAGCTGAAGAGACAGGATCTCCTCTGTTAATATCAACTGTTCGTAGCAGTGGCATCTCCTTCCAAAAGAGGCAATATCAGCTACAAGACAGCTTCAATTGAATGCCAGCTTCATTCAGGTTATTAATTTCAGCAAATTAAGCTGTTCTACATACATCTGCATACCTACAGAACAGACATTTCTAGAGGTAGAGGTACCTGAGTGACCCTCTGCACCAAACAGTCATCAGCATAGGTCCCTTTGTGAGTGCAGGGCAAACGTTCAAATCGTGGGTCTTTTGCTATCCTGTAATATAATCAAACAGAGAATTAAGATAGCATTGGGCCAACTGACATAATTAGAAGAATTAAAAGATTCCTAGAAGATAAACAATTTCTGTCTTTTCCTCACTAGGTATACCCCAAATCTGTAGGTTGCTATCCTCAGCCTAATGTTTATTTCTGACTGTCATCCTGCCTGTCAGATGTATTGCCTGGGTATGCTAACTGCCTGGCCTCCAGCAAATTGAATAATAGGAAGCTTCAAACCCTTCTCCCAGGCATACACTTGGGGTTCTATCCAGTGCTCATGCAACAAATTTCGTGCACACGACTGAACCTCCTCTTCCCCTTCCCCCACTCACACCCTTAATATCAGAGTCTGGAGGATTATAAGACCCCCTGAAGCAGATTTGGGGGCATGTGAGAGGCGGGAGAGTAAACTGAAGTACGAGTCAAACTCCATTCAGTTCTCTGCCTGCTGATGGAACACAAAAACCTTCTTGAATTCTTTCTGTCTCCTTTGTGTAGCACAATAAACTGCTTTCTTGAAACCTTGATCTAACTGGTGAATCTACAATTCAGTAAGTTATTCTATGAATTTGATAATCTACTCAAGCTACAAACTTAGGAAGAGGGCAGAATTGAATTCTGCCCAGAAGAGACTGGGAAGATCAACTGCCTTGCTTTCTTCAAAAGGTACATCCAGCCTGGTGAACAAAAGAAGTGATGCAGTGACAAGCTGTCCAAGTTTAATGATTTGGGATCTAGCTCTTGTACCCCAGGGAAGAGTCCCTGTTCTCCACATTCGTAAGTTAGACTAGATAAACTCAATAACAGAGTCCAGTTATAGGTCCCTACCTTAGGGCAACACGATACTTTTGCCCCAGTTTCTCAATTTCAGCCATGACACAATCTGTGATACATGGAATACCTACAGGAATACAATAAATATTTAGTATCACCAAACTGAATTGCAACAAACTCCTGCAGGTGCCTAAATAAGAAAATATTAGGTTTCAAAACTATGAATATTCATACAGCCCTCTGAAAGTCAGTCAAATCATTGACAATTATCAGAATAGAAAGCACACTCTTAATTGATCTGCTTTTCATTTCTATTTATATTATTCTGTGCATCTGATATTTTGAGTAAAACATTAATAAAGACCTCTTTGACAGTTATGGTAAAATCTGATAATCAGCGAACTTTTTTTATTTCATTAATGCAACAATAAAGTTAGCAATAAAATAGTGATTATTTAAACAGCTGGTAGTCATGATGGATACACTTGTTAAGTCTAACTGAAAAGCATTTAGTGGCAAGCACTAGATGATGATGATGATGATGGCAACAACAATAAGAATAATGAAAGCCAGCACCTCATACATTACTGCTACTTTAGTCTTAACAATGTGCCACCACTAATGGAGCTTTTTATAGTCTCAACTTATCACCAATGATGTTACCCTGGAACAAGATGTAATAGATCTACATACTTACACTTAGCATAGAGGCAATCCATCATTGACTGCACCAGATCCAGTTTGGCTTTAATGGAAAAATTAATGAAGTTGGTATCAACCAGGATGTAGTAGGGAGGCCCCAGTTGTGTATTATATTGGAAGAACAAACAGGAAGGATATTTAGGGCTGAAATGACAAACATGGGACAAATCAAGTTACAAAGGGGAAAACAAAACATACTGTCCACAAATAGCATATAACTTCAGAAGTGCTTTTTCTCAGCTTACAAACTCTTGAAAATGTATTGAAAAATGTGTCAAAATGCTCAGAGGACAAAACACTCAATAAGTCACATTTACTGCTGAAAGTGTGCTCAAGCATTCTAGTGTGTGTGTGAGTGGGGGGTGCTTTTACATTTCAACCCCCATCTCTTGAGGTCCAACCACATGGTGTTATTCTCAGTACCATCTTTTCAATACAGCTAAGCCCTTCTGCTCAAAATATTTTGACAGAGCACCATAAATCATTCATTCCAATTATTTGTATATGTGATACTTGTAAGAAGCAAAACACTTAAAATAAAGAAAGTTTGGCCACTTTATCACTGACTTGCAATGTGCCTCCCACTACCTGTTTGATCAGCTCCAGTTTGCTAATGACCCAGGTAATAACATGTGTTTGCCAAGCCAAATTAATAGCACCCACATAACAGTCTTCATGTTAAGACACAATTCTGAGCATGCTCATCTGAAAGTTAACATCTACTACAGGCATAGGCAAACTCGGCCCTCCAGATGTTTGGCGACTACAATTCCCATCATCCCTGACCATTGGTCCTGTTAGCTAGGGATGATGGGAGTTGTAGTCCCAAAACATCTGGAGGGCAGAGTTTGCCTGTGCCTGATCTACTATAATCAATGGGATTTATTTCTAATTTTGTATTAAGGTAGCCAACAGAATTGATGGGAAATCATTAGATACTTACACCTCTCTCTCTTTTATTGCACTGGAATCATCCTTCTTTTTCTCTTTAGGTTTTGCTCGGTCTGCCTCTTTGCTTGGGGTGGCAAAAAAATTTTTTTTTAATCATTTGTACACACCATCTACTCAGTAAACCACTGTAGATAACCAAGGGACATTATTGTTGGGAAAAAATGTATCAATATAGGATCACAAGATTAAAAAAAGTTTGGAGATCATTTTGGAGCACCACACAATCCTACCATTATGAATTTGACTCAATGGGACTTACAGGATCACTTTGTTAAGTGTTTCAGTCTTGTTAAATAAGCAAAACTCTTAGAATTTACACTTCAGTAGGTGCCACTAATAAATAATATCAAGAGACTTACATGCGCTGGTCACGGAGGCTGATCATGCGTTTCATGGCAGCATATTTCTTTGCTTTCTTTTGTTTCCCCTTAAAAAGGAAAAATTAATAATACACCATTATTTTTTAAAAAAACTATAAAACCTGTCATCCTCTTCCACGCACACTACAGTCATAGCCAGTGTTTCATATCAAAGAAAGGCGATGCCAAGACTAAAATCTTTTACCAACAGGACCCAGTTCCTGATCTGTGTGGGTGGTAGCTATGGTAACTTATTGGTAACGGAAAGGCACTCCATACAGCCTGTTCCTTATTATCTAACATGCATAATAAGAACGTCTTTACTCAAATTAGGTTCTCATCAAAACACTCCAAAATTGGCTTCCCCAGGTTTGAGAGATACAATTGCAGGATCCACCCAATCATAACCACTGGATGGACATAATTCATATAGGTATTGTTTACTGCCTGCAAACCTATCCTTGCAAACAGTGTTCCATATTACTCTAGGATTCACATACCCCAACAGCTGAACTACCCAGAAATGTGAATATCTATAAGGAACATAGTAGCACAGGAAATATTTGGTATATTGACTAGAATGGGGCAAAGACAGGAGCACATTAAAAAATAAATAAATGTAAAGGGCAGATTTTAAACCACAGAGCCTAGGACTTGCCAATCAGAAGGTCGGCGGTTCGAATCCCCGTAACGAGGTGAGCTCCCGTTGCTCGGTCCCTGCTCCTGCCAACCTAGCAGTTCGAAAGCACATCAAAGTGCAAGTAGATAAACAGGTACCGCTCTGGCGGGAAGGTAAACAGTGTTTCTGTGCACTTCTCTGGTTCGCCAGAAACGGCTAAGTCATGCTGGCCACATGACCCGGAAGCTGTACGCTGGCTCCCTCGGCCAATAAAGCGAGATGAGCCCCAGAGTCGGTCACGACTGGACCTAATGGTCAGGGGTCCCTTTACCTTTAAGTGGCAGACAGGAGCGTAGGTTTTTTTTTAATATGTAAGTGTGAAACTATTTTTGGATAGCAGGCTCGCCATTATTTCCCACCCACCCTCCCGCACAACATCCAGCACCCGTCCCTCCCTCTAACACTTTCTACTCCCTCACAGCACGGGTCCTGAGAAGCACCTTCCCAACAACAGAGATAAAGCTAGTCATTTCATACGCTCGTAAGCGGGAGCGAATTTAAAAGCACGCCTAGTGGGATTTTAAAACATTTTTTCAGTTTCCCCCTTGCCCCCCTTCTGTCCAACATCTAGCATGGTGAGCCGCTCTGGCGAACTCGAGACGTTGAAGTTATGCCCAACGAAGCTTTTGCTCAGCAAAATGGACAATGGAGAATTAATCGACAATGGAGAATTAAATGGACTGTGAGAGGACCGCGGGTGAGAGCAGCCAGTTCCCTGCCATGCCACGCCACAACCCCGCACCCGAGGTAAAGCGCTCACCATTTTGGTAGTCCCAGCCACAGCGTTCTTCTCGCCCACTTCCGGCGCGCGCCATGTTCGTTCGCCCAACGCTTTGAGCGTCACTTCCGGCCACTGGCGGCCAGGGGGGCAGGGCGAGCGAGTGAGAGAGAGTGTTGTAGCTGGAGTGCGCTGTGGCAGAGCAGGCACGGAACCGACACTGACCGTTAGTCCCATGACCAGCGCGGCTAGTCCCTGACTCGCCTCAGTTGCCTCCCATGAGCGCCGCTTCCCCTTCAGAGAGGAGGCAAGAGAGGCATTATTCGGCGGTGGGGTTGGGGTTTCGAGGCGAAGAAGGAAGCAGCCGCCGGCGGGAAGGGGGCGGCGCCCTTGGGAAATCTTCCGCTGCCCTGCAGGGAGGGGGAGCGTCCCGGTTCCTTGAAGTAAAAGCGGGGTGTGGGGGGAGGGATAAGATGTAAAGCGGGCGTGGTGGTCCGAGCCCCGCGAGGGCATCGGGCCCGGTGGTGGGTTTCGTCCTAGTTTCCATTTGGGGCTAAGAAGTAAGTTTGGCCCTCAAACCCCGTTCTTCAGATTGCGCCGGGCCAAATACTCGGGTTGCCGAAAGCCCTGAAATAATTCGGCACCATCTCGTTTTTACTTTCCCCCTGCCTTCCAGAATATTCTGTTCCCCGCCTTTTCCCCTGACGGGACTCAGGTTTACCTCAGGTGCTTGTCTGGCAGAGGGGAGAAAGGGTGATCTTGTGGCCACTTGGCATAGTCAGCGTCTGCCTGGCACATAGTTACTGCCCTCAAATTTTTGTATGCAGAGTTTCCCTCCTTCCTATTCCTTTCCCACTTTGAATTTATCCTGAAGGGCAAGTTAGGAAGGAGCTATGGTTCTTACACTGCTCTCACATGGGAGTCTCAGTTAACCGATTTTAGGAACCATCCTGGCTTCAAAGGTTTCCTGGCTGCCCTGTTGTAGCTAGTTTTGCTTTGTTTCTGTTCTTCCACACTGAAATGTTTGTTCTTCATTGATCTGGAGGATGGTGTTCAGTCCTGAATATGCTTCTCTTCCTGAAAGATCCGAATCGTGAAAGTGTTTATCTTCTTGCTCCCTTTTCTTTTGGATTTTTGTTTGTTTTTTATTTTGGTTCCAGTTCTGTCAGTATTGCCCTGTATATTAATCCAGTAATAGTTTGTAGAATTCTGAGTTTGTATAGGAGATCTGTACTTTCATGCCTTTTATAAGTGTGAAATGAAATAGTAAATGTTTTAAATTCCCAGTAGGGAATTTAAGCACATCCTATTGATGAATTTCAAACCATTGTAAATACAGTGTAGCTGATTTCACAGCTGTTGTTAAAAAAAAGAAACAGTGATCTTCCAGCTGACCTTTGAATAAGCATTTTGTGGAAACATGCATACAGAAAGTCTGGAGTTACGTGGTTCATTGGATTCTTTAATTGCTGATTAATTTCTAATCTGATTATTTCAGTATCTTCTGTTGTAGTAGAACAGTTTGGGACTTGCTGGTCAACGGAGGAAAAAAATTGTTTGCAGGTGTGATGCACTGTAATTACTGATTAGCTGATCCATATTAAGCACAAGCCCTTTTGAAGTCATCAACTCATATAATAATGATGTTAGGTGGGTTGCCTTGCCCTCCTTTCAAAGTGGGCCCATAGAGGTGGGGAGGTAATGGGCTAGTCAGATCCCCATCTGTCTGCCAGAGGTAGGTAATACATTTAGAGAAAAACAGTTTCCCTGATGTGAGATAAAGGCACACTGGTAAATTGCTACTCTTATCTGAATGGCTGTTTTTATAATGCAAGCTTATGCATAATTGTTCACTTAGTCACTAATGCACATATGCCTGTTTCACCATGTACATGCACTGCAGATAGCACACATCCAGTGAAACAGGAGTGTGTAAATGCATTACATGTGACAAAATGCATAGGGAGTTTCTGCACCTCTACATGGAAGTGACTTCTGTGTAGGGAACATTGATATAAGCAAAACTTCCCTCAGTTGCTTACATAATTGCTAGCTATAAACATATGTGTAAGCTGAGAATGCAGTTTTTAAAAGGACAGCTCTTTAAGACGTTAAGCGTTATCAGGAGCGTTAAGATTGAAGGGAGTACTGTGTCTGGTAGATGATGTGTCTTGGTAATTATGGGTATATGGGCTGTTTCACCTTTATCTATTTTTGAAGTATTTAGCTTTAATGATTTGTGTAACACTTTTATTTATTCTGGCCTACAAGTGAGTTTTGTGCTACAAGAACCAAAATAAAGCTCTCCTTTGTCTACCTTATTTGATTTGAAATGGGATTTAGGGAGGAAGATGAACTCATGGATAGTGGAAACAGTATGACTTGTTAATGGAAGATTGGTTTGGAATATTTCATGTTCATTTTAAAAATAATCCTTATTTACATTTAGCATCTGTAACAGTTTTTTATAGCATGCAAGAAGAAAAAATGCTAGTCATGTTTATTTTTAAAAATTGTTCTTATTAAAGATCTTCTTGGGTTACAAAAGTACATGCAGTTTCTCTGCTTTCAGTTCATAGAGTTCTTTCTACAGACCATTCATATTTGTTGTGAGACACTAATGTATAAAGTATACATTATATAAAGTACAAAGTTAGGGGAAAAGAGGTGGGGAGGGAGAGAAGAGGGGTAGTGAACTTTCATTCTTTATAGTATATGTGCTGTAAGACTTTTGTGTCAGCGTCACGTGGGTAGGTTTTATTGCTAGTAAGGTTTATAAAAGGTGGAATTTGGTGGGGCAGTGTAACCTGGCAACATGACAGAGACCTGTTTTTTTTTTTGTACTGATGTAGGCAGCACTTACCTGAGAGTAAATCCCATTGTGGCTTGCTTTTGAATAGATACGCATAGGATTGCATTGTTAATTGCATTCTGGATTATAAATTTACATGTGATGGGAAGGCAGGTTTGTGCTAGCTGAGCCTGCTAAGTTCAAACATTGCTGCTTGCTTGTGGTCTGTGTGCAAATTATTTCAATGTGACAGAACATTTCCCCTCAGATTATTCTGTAACACTGCACATGGGGAATAAAAAGTTGCTATAGTTTGATGTGGAAGGGGAGTGGGTACCACTGCAGGATTCTAAATATAGAAATCATGATAGCAGTTTACAGGAAAAAACTTCCCAAGTGGATAGCTCAGTTGGTAGAGCAAGAGACTCTTAATACCAGGGTCATGGTTTTGAGCCCTACATTGGGTGAAAGCTTCCTGCATTATGGGGGTGGGGTGGGTTGGAATAGATAGATGATCCTCATGGCCTCTTCCAACTCTACAATTCTATGATTTTATAAGTTTAAATAGTCATATTAGAATGATGGGCTTCAGCTCTAATAGTATTTCAGAATCCATATTTATTTGTGCAAGCTGAGGCAGAATATAATTTGGACATTGTTTTCTGAATTTTTGATGTTTTCCGTTAGCTCTGAAAGCAAGTGTGTTGATTAACAGTGCAGTATCCAGAGGAGAAGGGACGCGAGTGGTGCTGTGGGTTAAACCACAGAGCCTAGGACTTGCCGATCAGAAGGTCAGCGGTTTGAATCGCTGCGACGGGGTGAGCTCCCGTTGCTCTGTCCCAGCTCCTGCCAACCTAGCAGTTTGAAAGCACGTCAAAGTGCAAGTAGACAAATAGGTACCGCTCCGGCAGGAAGGTAAACGGTGTTTCCATGTGCTGCTCTGGTTCACCAGAAGCGGCTTAGTCATGTTGGCCACATGACCCAGAAGCTGTACACCGGCTCCCTCGGCCAATAAAGCAAGATGAGCGCCGCAACCCCAGAGTCGGTCACGACTGGACCTAACGGTCAGGGGTCCCTTTACCTTTATCCAGAGGAGAAGATGGCACCCCACTACCCTTAGCACTGCACAGAAAGACATGGGTATTCTTTAGGTTGAGCTATCCGATAAAAACACTAACTAAAAAGTGACTTCTGCAATCATTACCACCGCAATACTATCCCTCCCTGTACTTTGAATGGCCTAGTACTTCTTTAACTATTCTAAACAACAGTCTTTGCATGCAAATGATTTTCCTAGAGTGTATTATGGAGTAGGGCTTTCAAAGTATTTGGATTTACAAATGGGTTTTATCATTCATGTTATCTTGGGATCAAGGCAAGATCAGGTTATAGAGGATCTGTAAAATTGCCCACTGTTTTGAAGAAAGGATATCTAAAACAAATGCCTTCTGAATGATTTATTCATTCCTCTGGTCATTACCTACTTGTTCTAAGCAGTCTGATGATCCAGATTAGCTCACCAGTCTAATAATTAATGTCATTGTATCCTGGGAACGGGCTAAATAAGTAAAGCAGCTTGCACCTCTGTGCCCTAAGTGTGTTTGATGGCTGCTCCCAGTTGATGCGCTGCATAGAACGTGTCAGCTCTTTTTGCTCTCTTTTGTCTGTCTAGCTGGCATCTTGCCTGTCATTTCATATAAAACAAATGAATCAGAGTTAAATTTACTGAGACTGCCTTTCAGGCAAGGAGAATTCTGAAATAGTGCACCTAAGAACAGTGACAAAGTGCTGAGTTGTCACTAACCTCCAAAGATTAGAAAGGATATTGCCAAGTTTCAGGTCAAAATTTATCCAGAAAATATCTGTCATTTGATCTTGCATGGAGGATGCTAATGGAAGGGCATCTCAGAATGACAGTTTTGTCTCTTGCAGTAGTTACATTTATCACTTCAATGGAGAGAATTCTAAGCCCATATTTTAGTGTTATGGGATTTCTTTGGAAAGAAAAATGCACACATAACCTTTAATAAGGTTCAGTAATGGAGAATTTTGATTGAATTTCCAAGCAGCTCAATAGAGAGCTTGTTTTTGAAGATGGACTTGAAGAAGATACCAGTTTCTTTGCTGTGGGGGATAACTCTGCCATGGAAATACTTGTTTAGGCTATTCTTAAGTTCTCAATTTCTGGAAGGTTTGGAATCATTACTATGAATTGACAATAATATAATCCATATCATGTGAAGAAACTCTTATACTTAGACAAGGGTTACCCAAGCAAGACTTTGATCTTTAGTAGGCAGTCCCTAGACTTGATGAAAGATATTGGAGGAGAGGCAACTGCTTCATCTGGTACTCCTCAATACTGAAATGAAACTTTTTTCACAGCCTGGATTAGAATGTAGATGCTAACTAAATTTCCTGGCCCCCACTGTAAAACATACAAGTAGAGGGGGTTTCTTGTAAGTAAGGAGGATCTTTACTCAGGCAAATAATGATACAGTTTCTGCAGCAAACATGAAACGTAAGGAGTAGCAGTTCAGGAGTCAGAGCAGGGCAATAAGTTGATAACTGAATGGAAGCAATGAAGGTGTCCCCACATCTTGCTCATCTGGCCTCCCCTGTTCAGCTAGGAAAAGAAGGAATGCATGGGCAAGTGGGTTTTCCTCAGATATGTTAAAAGGAGGAAACTTGAGACATTTGTTAAAAACCAGTGAAGGTGTTG